AAATTTATATTTGCAAAATGTGTATGTATTTGCGAATGTATGAAACTTGATATAAACAATTTTGTACACGATAATATTTTATAAGTAAAGTTATATATATATGTATGTATAAATCGAAATATCACTTACATATTTTACTACAATATCTATGTACGTTAATAATTATTTAGTTATTCTTAGAGATTCAAATTTAGTTAGTGAAACTGTAAAAAATTGTTAAGGTGGTTGGTCCCTAAATAAAAATAGACACGACACTAGATGGCGTTACAATCGAGATTTGTAGTTTTTATCGATTATTTTGTAATTAAAGATAATTTGAAGAAAATTTTCTAAATCTACGGGCGGTTATATAAATTTTTTACGCATATAGTCTTTTTATTACTAATTTAGTAATAAAATATATGGCTAGGAATATTCAGCCACACATTTATTTTAAAAATATTAATTAATTTATTAAAACAGAAAAATAATTTTATTATGTAGGTATTGTTGTATGAGATGCCTCATTACCTTCATTTGGTGTTACAGCATTAAATTTGATTTACGAATTTGAATTCGTAACCTATAAAACCACCCACGTATGTTTAGATCCAGTAAAGCGACGAGTTTTATTTCAGGACGGCTCCATACCTTTTTTTTATATAAATATTTTTTTATTTGTCTTAGTATGTACTGTGTTAGTAATATTCTGTTACTGTGTTAATTATTACTAATAATGCGTGTTATTTTCGTAATTAAACAACATTATAACATTCGTATTGTTTTATTTGTATAAACAATGTAACAATGTATAAATATGTAACAATGTAAAAATAACAAAGGCACTGGAACTATTAAGTATTACACTGTTATGGGCCCAGTGCACTTGGCCAATTCCACTTGTCCCGACCAACTGTAAGAGCGGAATTTTTTTCCCTTGTCACTACCATTGTGTGTCCAGTAAGGATAAATGGGAAAAAATATGCCACTTTTACCTATAGATATTTTTTTGATAATAAGTACAGTCTGTTAGAGAATTATTGAGAGTACAAAGATACCTGTTCGATACCACAGTGTAAGGATAAATATATACAATAGTGACAAACCCTTTAAAGTCTTGTGAAATGGTCTTTTTTGTCGGCGTTGACACATTTATTTTTAGCCGACTTCAAAAATAGATTATTCTCAATTTTACCGTTCCTCGTGCGATGGTCATTGAGTAGTTATAATAATTCGTTAAAATTAATTAACAATATTAATATTCAAAATATACCACCTAATAATACCACCTTAGATTATATAGATAGAGCATCGAGTCTCAAAAACGGGGCAACTTTCTGTCAGCTAATTGTCAAATTAGTTGACTCGTTTTTCTATCAGTGTTCTATATATACTTACGTATTAAATGTAATAAACAAAATGAGTGTTTACGCATTAAAAAGTTGCAGAAATTATAAGAGAAAATAAATATAGAAGTTATAAAGGAATCACTCATAACTATTTATCACGCAAAATTGTATGAAAAAGTTGACCCACTTTTCTCGAAACATTTCTATGGATGTCTCCATACAAATCTATATATTTCTATGTATATAATCTAAGTATACAACCTTTATATATAAAATAACACTATAATCTAGTTTTATCACAATCATATGTAGGCGCAGGTATGCCAGGAATGACAATTTTAATATTACATTGAAAAATGTAATATTTTGGCTTATTAGTTACCTTTAAATAATTTATTTATCACATATCGATAGCAAATATATATAATGTACTAGTTTTACCCTCTTATTTGTAACTAAAACATTCTACAAATCTATTTCAATATAATACAAGTTTTGTGAACGCTTACATCTTAATAAAGAATATTTTATAAAGTATAAATCCGTAATTGACTGCAAGTACAAAAAATAACAATAAAATATTATATATTTTAGGAGCTGTGGATTTTGATATAATAAATATATAAATAAAATAAATTAATATTACACTGTTTTGATTCTTTCAAATTGAGATTTTAGCACAAAAGAAAGGACAACAATTCAATAGCTAAAATAAAATTTGACATTTTTATAAATAAGAGGGTAGTTATATGTTAAAACCAAATAATTTTTTTTTTATATTCTTTTCACATATTTCAATAATATTCAAATGATATTGCAAATTACATTAAGAATTACCATCACCATTTCAATCATTATTCGTCAATTTAAAAATACCACTTTTAAATCCAAAACTTAGATTTCTTAGATCGAGTACATTTCCATAACGCCACATTACTGACACTTGTAGCGACTCATTCCATTACCTCCTTTTAACCGCGCCAACAATTTTTATTTCAATATAATATTAAGACCCTTTTTCGTTTGTATAATTTAGAAACGTGACGTTTGAATTTCAGTTTATCTTACATCTATGTTCCTGTCTTTACGAATCCTACTTAATGTAAAATATTAAATACTGTTTAAATGTTATTGTCGTTTGCTGTTTACTGGTCTCGTTCTGTCTTTCAACTGCAAGATTAGAATCTTTCTGCAAGCAAGGTTAGTGGTTGAATGCAATAAATGTCCTTAGTCACTACACTGGAACGAAAAAGGGTCTTAATATTATATTAACGTAAAAATCGTTGGCGCGGTTAAAAGGAGGTAGCGGAATGAGTCGCTACAATACTTTTTAATCTCTCTTACAAACATCATTAAACAAAACGCAGGTGCCATCTACCCTCTCATAAATGAATATAAAGTGAAGCACCTTCAAATACATACATGTATTATTGCATTCTTTCTTATTAACACACAATACATCTTTTTCACAATATTTTAATACGTACCTTATAAAAAGCGCTAACCTATACACCAAAAAGTAAATAGTCATAATTTAGAATTTGACGAAATATCATAAAAGATATTACGAAACTTTATGTGAATTAAAAAAAAAAAAGATCAGCTACAGAGGTGTTGAAATAACTTGCCTTTTCAGATCTAACTTAACTGAATACCGGCTTTGTTTGACTTAAGAATGAATTAAATGTAAATTATGTGCATTAAAGATTTTACATAACAAGACAACTTCGTACATTTGTTGGTAGAATACGATCTAAGCCATCATAAGGTAACGGATTCTGTGTTGTGTTTTATATGACTGTAAGTGAATTATATGATGTGTCATGTACGAGTGCCAAGTGAATTATGAGTGATGTGTCATGTACGAGTGGCGAGTGAATTATGAGTGATGTGTCATGTACGAGTGCCAAATGAATTATGAGTGAGGTGTCATGTACGCGTGGTATGTGAATTGTAAGTGATGTGTCATGTACGCGTGGTATGTGAATTATGAGTGATGTGTCATGTACGAGTGCCAAGTGAATTATGAGTGATGTGTCATGTACGAGTGGCAAGTGTATAATGAGTGATGTGTCAAGTACGAGGGTCTAGTGAATTATGAGTGATGTGTCATGTACGCGTGTCTAGTGAATAATGAGTGATGTGTCATGTAGGAGTGGCAAGTGAATTATAAGTGATGTGTCATGTACGAGTGCCAAGTGAATTATAAGTGAGGTGTCATGTAGGAGTGACAAGTGAATTATGAGTGATGTGTCATGTACGAGTGTAGTGAATTATGAGTGATGTGTCATGTACGGGTGCCAAGTGAATTATGAGTGAGGTGTCATGTACGCGTGGTATGTGAATTGTAAGTGATGTGTCATGTACGCGTGGTAAGTGAATTATGAGTGATGTGTCATTTACGAGGGTCTAGTGAATTATGAGTGATGTGTCATGTACGCGTGTCTAGTGAATAATGAGTGATGTGTCATGTAGGAGTGGCAAGTGAATTATGAGTGATGTGTCATTTACGAGTGCCAAGTGAATTATGAGTGATGTATCATGTACGAGTGGCAAGTGTATAATGAGTGATGTGTCAAGTACGAGGGTCTAGTGAATTATGAGTGATGTGTCATGTACGCGTGTCTAGTGAATAATGAGTGATGTGTCATGTAGGAGTGGCATGTGAATTATGAGTGATGTGTCATGTAAGAGTAGCAAGTGAATAAGGAGTGATGTGTCATGTAGGAGTGGCAAGTGAATTATGAGTGATGTGTCATTTACGAGTGCCAAGTGAATTATGAGTGATGTATCATGTACGAGTGGCAAGTGTATAATGAGTGATGTGTCAAGTACGAGGGTCTAGTGAATTATGAGTGATGTGTCATGTACGCGTGTCTAGTGAATAATGAGTGATGTGTCATGTAGGAGTGGCAAGTGAATTATGAGTGATGTGTCATGTACGAGTGGCAAGTGAATTATGAGTGATATGTCATGTACGAGTGGCAAGTGAATTATGAGTGATGTGTTATGTACGAGTGCCAAGTGAATTATGAGTGAGGTGTCATGTAGAGTGGCAAGTGAATTATGAGTGATGTGTCATGTACGAGTGGCAAGTGAATTATGAGTGATGTGTCATGTACGTGGCTTTGTTTGACTTAAGAATGAATTAAATTGTTAAAAAAAAATAAAATAAAATAAAATAAAAAAAAAAAAGTAATTCAATTGAGTTTCTTGCCAGTTCTTCTCAATTGGATCTATATACCGAACTGGACGGTAGGGTAAATATAAAATTATAATGTACAAATTTGACGTTCATAAGCGGCTAAAATGTCCTACATGAATAAATGATTTTTGAATTTGAATTTGAATTTGAATTATGTGCAATAAAGATTTTATATAACAAGACAACTTCGTACATTTGTTGGTGGAATACGATCTGAGCCATCATAAGGTAACGGATTCTGTGTTGTGTTTTATATAGACTGTAAGTGAATTATGAGTGATGTGTCATGTACGAGTGCCAAGTGAATTATGAGCGATGTGTCATGTACGAGTGCCAAGTGAATTATGAGTGATGTGTCATGTAGGAGTGGCAAGTGAATAATGAGTGATGTGTCATGTACGTGGCTTTGTTAGACTTATGAATGAATTAAATGTAAATTATGTGCATTAAAGATAACAAGTGTACATTTGTTGGTGGAATACGATCTGAGCCATCATAAGGTAACGGATTCTGTGTTGTGTTTTATATAGACTGTAAGTGAATTATGAGTGATGTGTCATGTACGAGTGTCTAGTGAATTATGAGTGATGTGTCATGTACGTGGCTTTGTTTGACTTAAGAATGAATTAAATGTAAATTATGTGCATTAAAGATTTTACATAACAAGACAACTTCGTACATTTGTTGGTGGAATACGATCTGAGCCATCATAAGGTAACGGATTCTGTGTTGTGTTTTATATAGACTGTAAGTGAATTATGAGTGATGTGTCATGTACGAGTGTCTAGTGAATTATGAGTGATGTGTCATGTACGAGTGCCAAATGAATTATGAGTGATGTGACATGTACGAGGGCCAAGTGAATTATAAGTGATGTGTCATGTACGAGTGTCTAGTGAATTATGAGTGATGTGTCATGTACGAGTGCCAAGTGAATTATGAGTGATGTGTCATGTACGAGGGCCAAGTGAATTATGAGTGATGTGTCATGTACGAGTGTCTAGTGAATTATGAGCGATGTGTCATGTACTAGTGGCAAGTGAATTATGAGTGATGTGTCATGTACGCGTGGCAAGTGAATTATGAGTGATGTGTCATGTACGCGTGGCAAGTGAATTATGAGTGATGTGTCATGTACGAGTGGCAAGTGAATTCCGAGTGGTACCATGTATGGATGGCAAGTGAATTATGAGTGATGTGTCATGTAAAACTGGTAAGCAGAGTATGAGTTATGTAAGACGTCGCGAATATCCAGTTAACAAATTGTGTATGTTCCATTTCCACTGCAGCGTTTCCCCTTATACTGTGTCATCCATGGATGAAGTGAGCAGCGAGTCCGCGCGGGATCAGTCGACGTAGAGGCGCACGAGCGAGGACTCGGCGGCCGGGCAGCGTGTCACGGGGCACGCGGCCCGCGCGCGCACGTGCCGCGAGATGCACACGTAGCAGAAGATGTAGCTGCGAGACCACTACCACTATACCACGAGCCAACGACACCCGGGACATCCGGCCAGATGCTCTTCCGGGAAATTAATGAAAATGGAAAAGTAACCCCGCCTATGTAATTGGTATATGCTGGCGGGTGCTATTCTATACTTCTTCTATACAATGAAATGTATGAAATATTTAAATAAAAAAATTAATCCCTATGCCTACACCCACGAAGGTTTTAGTTATGGACTGAGCTCCCTGTTGAGGTTTTTCCAAGAGACTACATGCATGGGGTTCTTTAAAAAAGAGGTAAAGGTATTGTAATCTTTTAAAAGAAACAATAAAGGGTATCTATATATAAATTACGCATGTGTTGCCATTCTTCAGAATGGCATCACGTGCGTAATACTCTTGGTATTGCAGGCGTTCATAGGCTACGATAACCGCTTACCATCAGATGGGCCGTATGCTTGTTTGTCACCACGATAGTATAAAAAATAAACACGAAAAAAATAATTCGTAATGAAAGAGAGTTACAAATTTGATAATAAAGGACGATACCCTAATCAGAATAGAAAAAAGTGGCATCAAAAACAGATTAAAATAGTAAAAAAAGAAATTTTAACTGCTGTCTACGATTTCGGCTCTTTGTGATTTTGCACTCACCCTGAGACTGGTAGCACGGTGGGAATCTTCCAGCTCTGAAGGCATATTGGACACTTGTTCTTCCATCTTACGGCGCGTTCATCGGGCTGCAACATACACAACAACAATATTAAATTATATATTTTTTTATTGTATAAAATAACTAAGAATGACAAACAACCTGACGGTCCACCTGATGGAAAGTGGTAACCGTTGCTTATAGACATGAGCAGTACCATTGACATAACAGAGTATACTTTTTCGTTCATGATATCCCCCATGCGTTGCCATTCCGGAGGACTCAGGTGTTATTCCTCTGTACTCAGTAAATTCACGCCATATCCCACCCTTCAAACCGAAACATAGCCATGCAAACACAACCGCTTCACGGTTGAAACACGAATGGAACAGAAGTACCTAAGCAATCGACTTTTATACAGTCTCCCTCTGGACCGTAGACGTAAATGAAGTCCGTAGACGCTCAAAGGACTAAAGGAAAGTGCACACCTATTGCTGATCATAGGGCTTTCTTTGTCTCACTCGATTTAAGCCGCTCAATTGTTGACGGAGTCCATAATAGACGTTTGTTCAATAGTAGATATGTTAACCGACCCGGCAAACATCATTTTGTCTTCTACAGTTACTCACCGGGTCCAGACCGGGTCGGGTTTTTTTAATGGATGATTGGTAACCCCGCCTGCGCTATCGGTATACACTAGCGTGAATACTACTAGGTGAGCATGAAAAAGCAAGTCAGTTAACCCATCGTGACGAACTCAACGATAAATTAGTCACGATGGTTTTCAGGGGAAACCGCGTGGAGGTAGAGTTGATAGGGTGCATTGATAGCAATGGGGTCTAACCTCCTCATTACTAACAATCCCTTCCCCTCACCGGGACCAGGTTATCCGTCCAGTGCTGAATATAGGCCTCCCTAATAGACTATCATAAGGAACGATCCTGAGCCACCTGCATTCACGGACTCCTTGCAATGCATTTAAGGTCGTCATTCTATCTACTGCGTTTACCCGTACGGGGTCGTCACTCAAGAACCTTTCTTCTCCATCGGTTGCCAGTTCCCCGAGCTATGCAAGGGTGTGATACCTGCGGCGCGGGCGGCGGCTGCAGCGCGGCGTGCGAGGCGGCGCGCGCGTCCCACCAGCGCAGCAGCTGCACCACGAAGGCGCCGTACTGCACGCCGCGCAGCACCGCGCCGCCTACCATCGGGAACGACACCGCCGCGCCCCTGCATCACGCCGCCACGCCACGCCACGTCACAACCATCAAAATATTACAACTTACTTTACCAAAAAAGGAACATGATGCATACTAAACATTAGTGTTAATGTTAAATATACGTCATTTAATTAATTTTTTTTTATGCAACTTAAAATGACAAACAAGCTGACGGCCCACCTGATGGAAAGCGGTAACCGTCGCCTATAGACATGAGCAGTACCATGGACATAACAGAGTACACTGTTTCGCTCATGATACCCCCATGTGTTGCAATATACGCAAATATTTCCCTCGAGTATGCTTGTATACAATTTCTAGGTCCATAAATAAAAAAAAAATATCAAGTAATTCTGATAATTTCTAATATAATGTAAAAGAAACTAAAGATCCCATTACATTTCACCAAGAAAAAAAAAGAGTTCCAACATAAAAATTATGTGTCATGTACGAGTGGCAAGTGAATAATGAGTGATGTGTCATGTAGGAGTGGCAAGTGAATTATGAGTGATGTGTCATGTAGGAGTGGCAAGTGAATTATGAGTGATGTGTCATGTAGGAGTGGCAAGTGAATAATGAGTGATGTGTCATGTAGGAGTGGCAAGTGAATAATGAGTGATGTGTCATGTACGAGTGTCAAGTGAATTATGAGTGATGTGTCATGTACGAGTGGCAAGTGAATTATGAGTGATGTGTCATGTATGAGTGGCAAGTGAATTATGAGTGATGTGTCATGTACGAGTGGCAAGTGAATTATGAGTGATGTGTCATGTATGAGTGGCAAGTGAATTATGAGTGATGTGTCATTTTTTTTATGCAACTTAAAATGGCAAAATAAGCTGACGGCCCATCCGGTTACCACTTTCTATCAGGTGGACCGTCAGCTTGTTTGTCATTCTAAATTGCTTAAAAAACTAAAAATCTCACATAAACATCTCATATTAAATTACTTCTTTTTAATGTAAAACTATTAAAAAATCTAAACCTAGACTATCAAGATTTAAAAGTATGCGATACTTGTAAAAGTTGGTAATAATATAATAAAACATTGTTCACTTGGTTAATTTTAAACTTTAAAAAACATATATAAATACACTATCGGAATTTAGTGCGATGAAAAATTTTGCCCGTATATTGGCGGCGTTTCGACGTGTATTGCTCTATGTCGTGGTCACGATAGAACTGAAGTGAACGGCATCTTCGTCTGGCAGCTCGCGCAGTCTCTTCTCGTCGAAACGGCGGCAATAAAGAAGCAGGTATGTAAGTATTATTTACCTGCAAAATTTTTCACTGTTCCCTTTTCGAATAAACCATCGTCTTACCTAAATTGTCCCGTGAGCAGGTTCTTGAAGAACCCCGTCCAGGTGTAGGTGTCCCTGTGTAAGAGCGGCGCGTCCCGCAGCGACACGCCGAGCAGCGCCAGCTCGGGGCAGTGGCTCCGGGTGGCGCCCGTCATGTACCTGGCGGCCTGCACCAGCCGCGCCGACTTCGCGACCAAGTGGACTATCGCGTATATTTTGATAGCTGCCTTGCGGGCGCGGTCTGGTTTACTCTACAAATAAGTTTTTATTCACTTCAGAACTTAACATGTACCTCTTTTATTTCCACTATTAAACACCTGCGTTTGCATGCTAGGACTTTATATATATTTAGGAAAAATTAAAGATAGGAAAACAATGATGCAAAAATTTTATAAACTTTGCAAACAAGACGATCTAATGTCATTTAGGAAATAATTTGAAAATGGTCTGATTAGAAAATTTAGATTGTATTGCATAAAAATGACAAACATCTAATCATTGTTAGGTCTGTATCTTTTATGTTAAATTCTTAAATTGAAAAAAAGTTATAGCTAACTTTTTATAAATACAGAAGTTGGATTTTCTGAGAGAACCTATATTTCTTCCATTTGTGTTTGGCACATAACAATAATTGACTGCTGCCATAAAAAAACCTTGTCACTTCATAATGTAAAATTTTCAAATTTCATGAAATATCTAGTAATAAATATAATAATTTCATCTAAACCTATCTGATTCTATATAAGCTCTTGTAATGTCACTATTTCTTTAGTCCACCTTTAGTTTTAGATAACTCACCTTCCCCAATCTCCCATCTTCATCATCCTCTCTCCATCTGTCTACAATCTTCTCCATTTTATCTTTAATATATGGCACTAGTACCAACAAGGCCACAGAGCCATACTCCAGCATTTCTGGTAACCTCGGGTTACCAGGGTTGAATTCACTGCTGACTGTTGTTGGCACTCTGAGAAGGCCGTAGAAACTCTCAGAGAATGATGCAGCTGGAAAGTTTTATAATTTCTTCATTACATTATGTTTAAGGTTAACAAAACTTTATTTATAAATACTACTTTCTAATTACAATTCAATAGTTCTGAATATTTTGTAACTATGTATAACAAAACCATAAAAGGATAAAAGCCTTTTATTACCATACTTGTTATAATCATTGTGCAATATTACATGTAGGCACAAGGGTTTACTCCATTATTCCTCCCATATTGGTTTTATAATTTTATCATAATTGAAATAGTTGGTTTGCCAATGAAAAAAACATTATGTTATTTAGGTAACTGACCATAGTGTTTGAGGTAGTGGTACTGCAAACAGCAATCAAACAGCAGGTACAACTCATCATACCACGGCACACACCACCCACACTTGTCCGGGTATACTTCAGCTAAATACTGCAATACATAGAGTTACCTTTTAGTTTTCAAGTTCTTTATATTTATTCACAGCTTATCAGTAGGTAAGGCTATTAAAACTCTGTTAACTTGCCATTGCTACCATGTTTTTACTTTAAATCCTCCCAACAAATAAAGGTTTAAAAAAAAATTATTTATTATAAAAAAATTACAAACAACTCAACAGTAATATTTTAAAAATATTTTTATATATATGCACATAATGAGAACAGTGATATTTGAAAGTTCTAACATAGTTCATCATCTCAGCCATTATCTGTCCAATTTGAACACAGGCCTCATTCTTAGACGGCCATAAAGAATAGAATAAGAATAGAATAGAAATCATTTATTCAAATAAACTTACATTGAAGCACTTTTGAAAAGTCATTACATTTTTTTTTAATTTACCGCTCGTTCGGAAAGCTGTCTCATCACAAGAAGAACGAGCAAGAAACTTGCGTGATGCTCTTTTAAATAATTTTATTATTATTTTACATTTTTAAGTTTAATTGTGTGAATACAAACCACCAATTAGCACTAATTCAATTAAATACTCAAAAAGAAAAAAAAAAATTGAATACATAACCAACTGGTTAAACAATTAATAAGAGGAAATCAGTCATAGTGATTAGAGCAGACCAGTCCCTACAAGCAGCACCCGTTCACGAGTATGACGGATGAGCCAGCCATCACTGCGCTCGACCATATTTTAGGGAGCCCAATGACCCGGCCCACCACGCCGCCACAAGTCTGGACATTTTAGTGAGCATGACTACTCAAAACACTAGACCACGTCAAAGCTACTCACAATTGCCATCTGATAGTTATAGTATTCACATTTTACATAAGAATGCATGCGGCAATTAATACAAAAAACCGCTACGCTTTCATATTTCTAAAATTAATCAATTAAATCAAGAAAGCAATGAGAAAATAAAATTATAACGTTGTATGCTAATAAACTAATTATTTACTTGATATGTTGTCATCTATGAATTCGTCTATCCTGTAATAGGCTTTCTTACATAAAAATTGTTTAATATAAGATTTGAATTGCCTCTCTGTCAGATTTAATGCAGATTCCGGCAGTTTATTATAAAATCTTATGCAATTACCATAGAATGAATTACTGATTTTGTGCAGACGGCATTTAGGTAAAATAAGCTTATTTATATTGCGTAAGTTTCTACTTGTACAGTCTTTGAGTTTTTTAAAACTCGCTAAGTTCTTCCGTGTATACATAATATTTTCATAAATGTATTGTGAAGTAACTGTGAGGATATTTGAGTCTTTAAAGCACTGACGTAATGACTCTCTTGAACCCATACCATAAATAGAACGTATGGCTCTCTTTTGTAAAACAAATATAGTATTTATATCGGCTGCTTTACCCCACAGCAGTATGCCATAAGACATTATGCTATGGAAATAACTAAAATATACAAGTTTAGCCGTCGCCACGTCTGTTAATTGCCTAATTCTTCTAATTGCATATGCAGCAGAACTGAGTCTACTGGCCAATTTTGAAATATGGGGCCCCCATTGTAATTTCGAGTCCACTGTTATACCTAAAAAAACTGTATCATTAACAAAATTTACTATTTCGTCATTAAGCAATAACTGTGTATTTATTAGTCTTACATTAGGAAGTGTAAATTTTATACACTTTGTTTTGCTGGAATTTAATAATAGGTTATTACATGTAAACCAATTTAATATTGCAGACATAGCACAATTTACATCGTCTAATTGATTACTTTGACGTCCAATTTTAAACACTAACGAAGTATCATCCGCAAACAGCACTATATCTGCAATTTTCTCTACCATAAAGGGAAGGTCATTTATGTAGATTAAAAAGAGAAAGGGGCCTAAGATTGACCCTTGTGGAACGCCCATCTTAATATTAGCTCCCTTAGATTTTACACCGTCAATATCTACAGTTTGAACCCTATCCTCTAAATAAGTTCTCATTAATTTTAGATCATTATCTCTTATACCATAATGTTCGAGCTTGTACAAAAGCGTTTTATGATCCACACAATCAAATGCCTTTGATAGGTCACAAAAAACTCCGAGTGCATCCTGTGACCTCTCCCAAGATTCGAAAATATGTGTCATTAGCGCAACACCTGCGTCAGTGGTAGACTTGCCGGCGGTGAAACCATATTGCTGACTGTGAAGCAGTCCGTTAACCCTGAAGTGATGTAACATTTGATTTAACATTATCTTTTCAAACACCTTACTTAGAACTGGCAAAATAGATATAGGTCTATAGTTCCCTGGCTCAAATTTATCTCCTGATTTAAATAGTGGGATTAATTTGCTAAATTTCATTAAATGTGGAAAAACGCCATTATCAATACATTTATTAAAAATAGTGGCTAGATATGGAGCAACAATATCTATGAAAGAACTAACTACTTTTACAGACATGCCCCAAAGGTCTTCCGTATTTTTTAAATTTAGCTGTTTGAATATTTTTATGATATGAAAGGGGCTAACATGTGAAAATTTAAATCTTAAAGAACAACAACCGATATTAGTCTCTAGTAATTTTTTTGCTCGAGATTGAGATGAGTCCAGAGAAGATGTAATATCAATCGGAATATTAGCAAAAAAATCTTCAAAAATATTAACTACATCTTTTGTTGTTGTTATTAATTTATTATCATAATTTAATGTAAATTGATTACAGGCTATTTTAGATCTTCCAGTTTCTTTATTTATAATGCTCCAGATGGTTTTAATTTTGTCAGAAGACTGCTTAATTTGTTTATTAAAATAATTAGACTTAGCCATAATACAAACTTTTTTAAAAATTTTAGAATAATTTTTTACATAAGTGGTGAATTTGTCATCAAATCGATATTTTTTTTGATCGTATTAATCAAACAAAATATTTCTACTTTTAAGTATTCCTACTGTTGCCCATTCCGTGAATTTAGATTTAACATGAACTTCTTTTTTCTTGAAAAATTGTTCATATTCTCCGGATAAAATATTAATTAGCTTGGTGTAAAGATAATCAGGATTATTACTAGATTGTAACAGCAAATCCAATTTATTTTTAATCGCGCTTTTGTATTTATTAATATTGTAAACGTTTATTTGTCTTTTTGATTTTTTATTATTGTTGACTTTATTGATTTGACTGCTAAACTTAACAACTTGACCACAGTGATCTGAAGGAAGTTTATTTATTATGAATTTTTCTGTATACTCGCAGTTACAAAAAACATTGTCAAGACAAGTAGCAGACGTGGCAGTTACACGAGTGGGTTCATGAAAGACATGACATAAATCAAATGACTGAAATAAACTAATAATTTTTGTACATGTGGGTGTGTTACAAAGAATATCAACGTTAAAATCTCCACATACAATAATTTTTTTAATACTATTAAATACTTTTTTTAAAATATCCTCCATCACCCCTTCAAAAACATTGTAATCACTATTAGGAGGCCTGTACACACATATAAGGATATAATTTTCTAGTTCTATACAAGATAATTCTATACAACACTCAATAGAAAGTCTAACAATGTCAGCACGTTCCTTTACTTTAATATTATTTCTTGCAATTATCATAGACCCGCCTCTGTTAACTGACTTTCTATTGAAGCAGCTGACAACGTTATAATTATTTAAATTGAACATCATATTGCTTTCTTTAAGCCAGTGTTCTGTGAAACAGACAATATCAATATTATACTTTTCTAAAAATAATTGTATGATTAACTCGCTGCCGGGAAAACTTTGTATGTTCTGATGAACAATTATTAATTCTGATTGCTTTCCCTTTGTCTTTGTGAGCAGTTTAAATCTGCAGTCATAGTACTTATGTCACAAATATTAATAGAATTATCTGTTATGTCAGCATTTTTATGTTTAAGTTTACCATGTAAACTGTTCATGTAGTCAATATTATAAGCCACTAAAGTGGCTATTTTATTTTTAGATGATTTAGAAAGATACATTGTATCTTTTGTCAAATAAAAATCACTAATAAAACTATTAGTATCAAAAAATGTCAAAATGTCACTATGACGACATGTCAATGTATGTAATAAGTTATTCAGGTAATGTACCTTACTGTTAATTTTTTTATGAAGATGTCTATTTGTGTAAGGAAAAGCGCACAATACAATCTTATACACATTTAATTGTAATAAATATTCAATTCCTTTAATTACATCCTGCCTATTTAATTGAATACTATTACCAAAAAATAACACAATTGTGGTCATATTGTTCATTTTCGTAGACTTAATTTTATTTATTATTTGTGTAAATGATGCTTCTGGCATGCAGTAGTTTAATAAATCACCCTTAAGATGATACTTCAATATAGACCCAAAGTTACAGCCTATTCTGTCAGAGAACACCATTGTGCTACTCTTAGGGTTACAGTCACTGGCACAAACACCCTGAACTTCATTTTCCAGCACAGTTACAACTGAATTATTATTTGATATATTTGTGTGATTACATGTACAATGCTTAGTCAACGACTCAAAACGGTCAGCATTGTATTTACTGACATCAATCAGATCATCCATTGCTAAAATATGCTCCTGGATTTGTTTCTGAGAGATAATATACTTTGTATTTAAATCATGAAGCGAAGATTCTAAACTATTGATTTTTGAAGTTAGGTAGTCTGTATCAATGTCATATAACTTTTGGCTTTCCACTAACTTATTATTACACTTATTAATGTAATCATGCAATTTTAAATTATTCAAAGTGGTTTTTTTCAATAATTGTCCCTTTTTGCAACGCTTATTTAATATATTCCGATTCTTAATTATAAACTTTTTTAGTTTTAAATATTTTTTAAATTTATTATTACTCAACATACAAATATTACTGTTATAGTTGCCTAATTTAGGTGATGTATCACTAGTAAGGTCAATTACAACAGGATGGGTGCATGGAACTGTAGTAGAAGGAGGCACACAGTCAACACTAATAAGTTCCTCATATAAATTACTAATCTCATTACTTTGTCGAGATTCCAATCTTGTGTCTAGATCATTGATTTTAGAATATGCCTGCTTTAACTCAAGTTCCAATTCAGTGATACGCCTCAAGGCTTGCTCATGAGTGTCACTACATTGATGAAAGCTACTTATTAGTTCTTGAAGCTGATCCCGCTGCTCAATAACTTCCTGATGGCTATTATGAAGTTCTGACAATTCTGATTTTAATTGGGTATTTTTATTTATAATTTTTAAAATTTCATCTTCACTCTCTTCTCTCTCCCTGATCAACTTGTCACTGAGATCTTTGGATGCCTGAAGTTCTTGTAGGGCCACTTTAAGCTTCATCTCTGTCTGCCGTGCAGTTGTGGAACGGGTAGATAGTGACATTATTGAATATATGAATAGTTACTAGGGAGAGTGAAGTGAGTTATTTCTAAAAAAAGTATCACAACGAGAACAGCAACTGAACCTTACTTATTTTATGTGTTAAAATTTTGAATAATTTTTGTTAGGTATATTTATACGACCTATATTTTACAAGATTAAGTAAATGGAATTAGATTGTGCTCCTTTCCTTCAAATTACATTAATATAAAACATAAAATTACTTACAATATATTTTGTGGGTATATTTTTTCCTTCGACGTACGCAACAACTGAACTTCACAATTATTAATATCAATTTAACTTGATGTGAATATTTTCTATAAAACTTGTATATATTATGAAATTCTTTGAATAAGTCCAACAAATAGTTATAAAATAGTTTTAAAATTAGTTGTTTACCAACGAAAGAAGTTTGACAGATGGCCGGTGCACTATTTTAATGTCGATTTTTGCAAATAATACACTACCAAATTGTACACAAACAACAATCGACACTTATTGCACTATTATATCACTAATAACGATGTCGAAAATATAATATTCGTGTGATAGACTATTAAAAATTATTTATTTATTACGGCCAGCTGAAAATGACAACTGTCGTTGGTGTTGCTAGTCGAAGAAAAAAAAAAAAAAAAAAAAAAAAAAAAAAAAAAAAAAAAAGAAATGTCTTGAGCCACCTGTGTCCACAATATAGTTAATTAACTTTAACTCTTGTACATCATATTTTTAATGGGTTCAAATGGGTGTTAAATTTAATTGTAACATTATATATATGTTACAATCTGTTATATTTATATCATGGCGTAACATGATTTATATTTTTATATTTATATTATAGTTGGACTATTTTTAATGGGTGATGATGGAATGGTAACCCTATATATATGGTATATGGTAGTCATGTTAAGCCATAATATAAATATAACAGATGCATAACAATAACAAAGAATGGTTATTTAGGATGTTATCTTCAAACAATCAAAATTACAACCGGTCTTTGAACTCTTGCTAATCATAAACATGAACTACGAACTATCGCTAATCAGATTATGAAAAAACTATAAAATAGAATTTAATATTCAGATATCATTCTTGTCTTTACTATATTACCTCTATTAGCTTCCTTAAAGCTGGTTTGACTGTAGTTCCCAGGGCCTCTTGGGCAGTTACTTGAAATATTGAAGGAGTACCTTGCAAAGTGCGCGTTAAATGCGCTGCGTACACCGCCATTGTGTTTGGCACTTGATTTATATATTTCCACTTGGTAATAAATCGATAAAGACTTATTTAAATATAAATTTGTTAATTATAATCGTCTTGTTTATTTATGAAAATATTATATGTCGAAAACAGAGTTTGAGGTTACTAATAATATCAGTGTCAGAGTGCCTGAACTTCAAAGTGTCATTCTGCTGTCAATCATATATCATTATTTTTTTTAGTACATTTGTTCCGTTGTGGAACAGGCTAAGGTCAGAGATCATGCTGCCTAGTCTTCAATATGATAATTTGTCTGGAATTATATCATTATTGTCAAGATGTTATTTTACTGTCAGTTTGGTTATTTTTATTTCTTTTATTAATATTCTTTCGGCCCTGGATACTCAGCAGTTTTTTTTTCTCCATTACCAATACTGCAACTAATTTATGATAAAAAAATTACACAGACCTACCTATTTGTTATCATTTAATGTTACTAAGCTGCTTTAGGGGTAGCGATTATTTATATTTTTTCTTTGGCTATAATTTACGCTGCCGCAATATAATAACGCCTCAAGATCTCTCTCTCACCAAGATAAAATAAGCACTATGCAGATGCTTACTGTTACGACGGTTGCCCGTTATCTAGTGTTAACACAAAGTTTTCCTTCACTTGCAATGGAATATTAAGTTTTACTCTCCTAGAGGATTCGAACTCAAAGGAGTGATGACATTCCGCCACCAAACCAATTATAAATAAGGGATGTAGAAAAAAAATTAAAACAATACTCGATACTTATTGATCAAACTTTGTATATTGTAAAATATCTGGTTTGGAAAAATGTTGTGTACAAGGACAATGAAATTAAGTAGTTAAAACTGTTTCACATTGAATTCTTCAATCTCTACATCGAATTTCGAAATTAAATTTTTCAGTCATACAACATACAAAAAAAAAATTGTGTGCGAAGCAAATTACGAGCATGTGACTTTGTTAAATTGAGCAATTAATTATTTATTATAAGCTATTTATGACGCTTATTACACCATGACACCATACATAGGTAAATACTTATGGTACATCTTAGTAAATATAGCTTCACGCATTATACGCATTGTAGCATGAAGCGGTTGACAGGTCCAAAGAGAAGAAAGAATTATAAGAGAACAATTATAACTATGACTTATAGATTGACTTCAATGTCAAAACTTCACTTTTTTATATTGTACAACCTGTCAAAATGTTACACAACACATGTATGTACTATACATGATACAATACATATATATACAGTGCATTTCACATTTTGGACAGTGTAATAAGCCCCTAAATCAACGCATTGTTTTCACAGATGTTACATCTATGAAAGGAACTACTATTTGTAAGTAAAATAAAATTACAAGCTACAATAACGATGACACTGGTCCGTCACATCTAAATAAGGCACTTAACATAAGCACAAATAAGTACATATTTGTTAACATTTCTAATTGTCAATAACAAATAATTAAATTGTGGTCTATAAAAAAAAAGCAGACTTCAATTGTGGCAATACCTAATATTTCGATTTAAAAACATAACTTTAATAATCTTTATTGGACCAATCTGTTAGATAAATAATTTTCCAAATCGGGTTTTAAGCCGACGGAGTTGGGAGGTAGTTAGCATAAAAAAAATACAAACAAATTGAGAACTTCCTTTTTTCTAAGTCGGCTGGATAGGAATTATTATAAGACTCTGTTTAAGTTAATTAAAGTTATTTGTGTGAAGTTATTCATACTATTTTTGGTCAAATAATATCTATACCTATGTCTCTACTTTTATTCAGAAATATGAACGGATGGGATGGTGCTTTCATATTTATATTTCAAGTTCCCATTTTAATTAATCTGTGAAATAATTTATCCCTTTGCACTCGAGCGGCGCCCGGCCGATTCGAAGTGACAAATCGAGCGGCGCCCGAGTGTTTTAAAACTTTAAATCGAACTACGCTGCTACGACGCTATTTGTATCTTTCGTAACTGGATCTCCTTACTTACAATATGCGATAAGATAGTTTTCTCCGAAGTACTTTCGTGGACTAGGCGCTGCTTACATTGCAAGCGAAAAAGGCCTCGAGTGCAAAGGGTTAAAACCTGTACAGTACATGTGCTTACAAAATTGTTTGTATTTATAATAAGTTTACTATTGTAATCTTATGGAGGGAAATAATAAAGAGTATATATCTATCTATTGTTTGTTAAAACAATAAAATTAGACATTGTTCACATCCATTTGACAATTGTAAAATAGTCTTCATACATTTTACTCGGTTCATATAAAATTGAATGCATTAAATAATTAAATCAAAATACATTTTTTTTTATACAACTTAGAATGGCAAACCACCCGATGGAAAGTGGTAACCGTCGCCTATAGACATGAGCAGTACCATGGACATAACAGAGTATACTGGTTCGTCCATGATACACCCCATGCGTTGCCGTTCCTGAGGACTCAGGTGTTATTCCTCTGTACCCAGTAAATTCACGCCATATCCCACCTTCAAACTGAAACACAGCCATGCAAACACAACTGCTTCACGGTTGAAACACGAATGGGACAGAGGTACCCAAGCAATCGACTATTGTACAAAGTCTCCCTACTGGTAAATTAAATATACAATATTCAACTACCTACTTTTAACGTGTTATTATTATAATTTTTTTTTTAAGAAAATACACTACGTTATTATTCACAAATTTGATTAAAATTCACATAACTAGATTGTTTTTACATTTTAATTAGGACATTACATTTTTACATTTATAAGATTCATCGATTCAATATTCAACGTTTGTATATCGTAAGGATTAAACACAAGAAAACAACATTACACATGAATTCGTATGCCCCAAATACATATGGAATTCAAATTAAGGTCTTTTGCCCTAAAATTAAATGCAACAATTCTTGCATTTACATAAATTTGGTCAAGATATGAATACGACTGTTTGTCCGCCATGTTGCAACGTCTTAGCGGTGATCATAAATAATTATAGACTTTATCAACTGACTGAGTATTCCTTTCGTTTTTTCAAATATTTTTTCAACCTCTTGATAACAGGGTTACTAAGGTTACAGGTGTACTAAGAACAAGGAATTACATAGAAGGAATGATTAAGTCATACGGTTGCCTCCTTTCTTCTTATGCAAATATAATTAGTAAAAAAAGGACGAAAAATACACTATCAGTTGTATCTTTCGTCCTCTCTCAATTCACAGCAGGCTAGTGTACAGAAAATGTGTGTGTAAAATTTTTGTTCATATTGATATGTCAATTATTTGTCAATGACAAATTTTACATTACTAGATTATATATTCGACACAGTTTATGTAGAAAGTATGCGAGCAGGTTGTATCTGAATTTGATAGGGTTATATAGCCAATAATACCAAGTGACATATCTTGATGAATTTGATTTCTACGAACTAGTTAAAAGGCAGATGCGTTTTTATATGTCTATCCCTCTCTAACGTATTCGCAATGTCGTAAATACAACGAGCAGCACACTATGTGAATTATGCATTCCATCTATTCTATTACGAAATATTTGATTATGCATTTCAGAATACTTTCAAATAAATTCTAGAATCAGTGAACTTATTTAAAGCAAAATAAACTTGTAAAGTTTATTTTGTTTTTGCAAACCCTTCTAAGTAACTGTCGATAGATTAAGTACACAAAAACAATTTTAGAACAGTTATTTTGAATTTTAAATACTTAGTAAAATAATAAAGAGAAGTTACATGGCATCTCATTTTCTTTACAAACCGCACTTATCAAATGACAGTTGACATTGACATTGACATCCCTATTCTTATTTTGACCATAACTCGGAGAGCCACTTGTACACTTCATCGTTCTTATCACTAGTGCACGGTGCACGAGTTGTACACAACAAGTGTCGTCAGCCAGCTGTGCCCACTAGTGGGGCTCGTGGGACTAGCTGGCCGAGTTGTTGTACTGCGGCCGCCCAGCCAGCTCCAGCAAGTAGCGGTCCGGGTGCTCGATCCAGTCGGCTGCTGATAACTTCACCTGCAAACCATATACAGGATTATCGTCAAGTGATTTAACAGTAATCATTAATAATTTAGATAGAGAATAGAAAAGGCAAAATACTGGGCCACCAAAGAAAAATAGAGGGCAAAAGAAGAAGTGGAAGGCCGATGAATAACCTAAGAACAAGGAATTACATAGAAGGAATGATATAATAAAATCTGTAAATCATATGGTTGCCTCCTTTCTTCTTATGCAAATATAATTAGTAAAAAGACGACGAAAGATACACAATCAGTTGCTATTTTTCTCAATTCATAGCAGGCAGTGTATAGAAAATGTTTGATATGTCAATTATTTGTCAACGACAAATTTTACATTACTAGATTATATATTGGACACAGTTTATGTAGAAAGTACGCAAGCAGGTTGTATCTGAATTTGGTAGGGTTATACGGCCATATAACATATTCTATACACTAGCCTGCTATGAATTTTATGTTGTACAGGGAGGCTACAGCTATAGCCTGGAATAGAGCTGGCTGGAAGATAATGCATGAATTATTTATCACAAGAGGAAATTTTTAAATGAAAAGATTAGTTATTTATCACTCTGTTAAAATTTAATTTATTAATGTAATATATTTTTTAAATTTTTATAATAAATTCATGTTGTTATTTTTTTTAACTTCTTAAAAAAGGAAATAATTTTCAATGCGATTTTGTTTTTGTATAATTTCAAGACAGTCCCACAATGATGTCAAAATTGATCAGTTATTAAATACTCGTATGAAATTTTTCAGGACAAATTATGCTACGGTTACAGTAATAACATTTGATTAACCTGTCGTTGTCGTTCCGCCTCTCGCACTTGCCACTTCTTAATTTCGAGCTGCGTCTCCCGCGACGCCTGGTCACCGCAGCCCCACACCTAGCGGCGATAGCACATAGTCCATATACGATTTAATATATATAAAGTGTAATGTGTCGCATATCGAGTGGTGAATGTGACCTGTGTGGTGAGTGTGGCAAATGTGCGGGAGGGCACTTTATTTTATTGGCGTCCAGCGTGTAGGGCATGCTCTGAAAGGTGAGCGTATAGTAAAGTAGGTATGATAAGTGTGGCGAGTGTGGTGAGTGTGAGGAAGGGCGCTCATCGACAGCGTCTAGCGTGTAGGGTATGCCCTGAAAGGTGAGGGTTTCGTCGTGTAGGTGTGACAAGTGTGGCGCGTGTGATGAGTGTGGGGGAGAGCGCTCCTAGACGGCGTCCAGCGTGTAGGATATGCCTTGAAAGGTTAGGGTATCGTTGTGTAGGTGTGACAAGTGTGGCGAGTGTGGTGAGTTTGGGGGAGGGCGCTCCTCGACGGCGTCCAGCGTGTAGGGTATGCCTTAAAAGGTTAGGGTATCGTTGTGTAGGTGTGACAAGTGTGGCGAGTGTAGTGAGTGTGGGGGAGCGTGGTGTGTGTCCAGCGTATAAGGCATACCTTGAAAGGTGTACGTATAGTAATGTAGGTATGACAAATGTGACGAGTACGGGGAAAGACCTACCTCGATGGCATCTAGCGTGTAGGGTACGCCCTGGAAGGTGAGCGTGTCGAAGCCCTCGTCGACGGACAGCAGCGGCCGCCGTGGATCGCTGCCCGCACGCAGCCCTAGCGGGTAGCCGCGGATCGACGTGTTCAGGTACACCATCTTGGCAGCTCGCTCCAGCACCGAGAATCTGCACCGCAACACGTACTTATACAACATAACTTTTGTTTCATATTCAATAACTGATTAACAAGAAATTAGCGAGCGCTGACAAGCGAGAGAGCTACACTGGCGGTGCTGGCCTACTGACGTGGGGAAGAGCTGCAGCAGCGCACAGTCGGGCCCGCCCCAGTAGCGGTGCGACTCGCGCCACTCGGCGTCGGCGGCGAGCGCGGCCAGCAGGTCGCCGGCCGCCAGCAGCACGAGCGACGGCCCGCGGTACGCGAGCGTGTGGTGCAGGAAGCGGTTGACGCCGCAGCCGTGCTCGCGCGAGCGGTACAGCGGCACCCAGTGCGACGGCAGCGCGCACACGAGCCGCGCCAGCCACGCGGCGGACGGCAGCGCGGCGGGCGGCGGCTGCAGCGGCCGGCTGTACAGCGCCGGCGCCGTGCCGGCCAGCAGCCAGGCGGCCGACAGCGGCAGCAGCTCGCCGCCGCCGCCGGCCCAGGCCGCGCGCTCCAGCACGGGCGTGGCCAGCTCGAGGCCGGCGCCGCTGCCGCTGGACTCCACGCGCGCCTCCATGTCGCGGTGGCGCGTGGCCAGCAGGTGCACGCAGTACCTGCGAGCGGGACCGTCACGTGTCAGCTCTCCTCGCCGGTGCGTATCTGTGTCCGTCACACGTACAACGGCAAATGATACGAATAATTGTAACAATGAAACATCTCGCGGAGCCGTACCTGTGAACAGGGAATATGAGCCTGTGACAGTGCTCCTCGAGCCAGCGCACCACGAAGCCGACGCTGTGCGACTCTTTGTTGTTGAAGCAGCCGTTCACCACCGCCGATAGCGTTTTGTGAATCTGGCACAACAACAATATCTCTTTAACACCAGCGAATGACGCTTTAAAGGAGAAAATAAGTGCTCAGTCTTCTGTACGGGTAGGTACCCATACAGAAGACGTCCACACAGAAAAAGGCAGGTTCCTCTCATATATTTTTGCCGAGCAGTTTGCTAGTAGCATACTGAGTTTCAGATGGAAAAGTGACTACAGTAAATCATATTATGTCAAGTTGACAACGCGCAAATGATTGATACTTTCAGAATTGCAAGCTTTGAAGATAATCTATCTTCAAGCAGATCTTACATTTGATTGCCATCCCCATTATATCAGAAAAACTTGTTGATATTATTCCAAATTGAAAATTAGTGATGTCATATTGAAAAGTAAATCTGTCTACATACTCTGTATATGGAGCATAATTATAACTACGAATTGGTTAACGCGAGCTTAGATAAATAAATATTACATTAATCATAATTTTAGAAACTTTAGAATCTGATATCTAACTTCAAAGTCCAAAATGTCTTAATTGTAATTGACCCTGATCCCAAGAGATTCCAAGAAGGTACTAACCATAAGACACGTCTGCGGCCCTTCCGGGTAATGGTCCATGGAGAGTTTGTAACTGATGTAAAGTAGTTTCCGCAGACCGTCCGGTGTCACCATATTATCGTCTGTTTCCGCACCGAACATTCTGAACAATAAACGTTCTATATTTAATAGAATCATTACAAGGCACCCAGTTACTTCCAGTCAACCTGTAGAGCGCCAAAAGGATTTTCATTTGGGAAATGTTCAAGATTGTATTATTAGTTGTATAAATTATTCTACTGGCGTTTACCTGACGTAGGTCTCTATGATGACTGCATCGTCCAACATGGCTAGTATCTTCTCGCACTGCTGCCTGAACGTGGCCAGGGGGATATGCTTGTTCTTGCACTTGCCCATCCTGTGCACGTATTTGTAAAACTGGCGCGCCAACTCCGGGTACATCGGGAATAAATATTTCTACACAGAAATATAGAAGATGTATTGCAGACCTTCGCGTGGTAAGAATAGGTTTGTGGGGATCAGTGGCGGACTAAGCTGGTCAGAGGACCGGGGCAGCAAATCTGAATGTGACACTCAATTTAAGAAGTTGATGAAATTTTACAAACTTTTTGTTCATATTTGCATTTGTATGTATAAGTGTTTATGTTTAAAATGTTGCAAGAACAATTTTATGGATGAGTAAAAGGGAGGCGTTTGGAGGCCCCCCAGGACCAGATGCTCGGGGCGAGTCGCCCTTTCCGCCCCCGGTTAGCCCGCCACTGATGAGGGTGGTGAATACAGAATGATGTTATCAAATAATAACTATAAAATATAAATAAACGAATATCTTAGTTTTTGGGAAAAGCACCCACATGTCGGATATCATAGCCGCTTACATACTTTGTGATACCCATTGTACTGTGTACTCCAGTCAATAATTGCATTGATCAATAAAGTATACAAAGATGTATACATGCAAGAACTCACGGTAAACGAGTTCTCCGTGACTCCATTGACGCCATCTTCCTTCTGCGAACGTTGTACCAGCAGCTGAAACAAACGAAAATTTCTTTTAATTTTCATTATTATATAATCAGCTTCGGTACCGGTTTTTCTGTGTATTGTAGCGTAGCATACCCTTAAGGAATGAAACGCTGCACACTTCTAACCAGGTACCGGCTACGACAAATATTACCAGTTAGTTATACCAGAGGGAGAATTTATACTAAAGTCGTTCGATAGGTACTAAAGAGAAGGGTATGGCGTTGAAATTACAAGGTACGGAGGTATACCATCTTAGTCCTCAGGTATGAGGGGTACTATGGGCATAATAGTGTATACTGTAATGTCCATGGTGTTGTTCATGTTTATAGGCGACGATTACCACTTTTTATCAGGAGAGCTTATTTGCCATTCTAAGTGTCATAAAAAATATTTTTTGAAAATGACTTGTTTATTGCAATTAGTCGTGATGAAAGTTAAGTCAATAAGATCCACCAAAGCTTTCTGCTTGGGAGATCGTCATAATATTCTGTAACTAGTCAGATCGAGGAAAGAGAAAACGATAGAAAAGTGGACTACAAAAAAACATATAAAGGTCTTTCCTTCTGGGGAGAGGATTGTTTCGTTGGGTACAGCGACCCAATTTCTAGCATTGTGCCCTGCCAGGTAGACCTTAGCGCGGTTCCTATTTTTAAATCGGTTAAATTCGTCAACCGACTTTATCCTGATCTATCGTCCCTCACTGGTACCCAGACCCTGTATACCAATATGATAGGTAGGGTAAGCGTTCCACTTTCCTCATTGACGAATCCCTTTCTTCCTTTAATTTCTCTATTCACCACTGTCCCGCTTTAGTTCTATTGGGGTTGGCATAATGTTATCTATTGTATACAAAATCAATATATATATATATATTGATTGTATATATATATATATATATATATATATATATATATATATATATATATATATATATATATATATTAAGAAAACGTTCACTCTTCTAGGAATTTATGATAGATACACAATTGGTGCTAGGAATTTTCCGAAGCAGGCGTTTGATATAGATGCCAACGTCTTATCTAAGTCACACATCATAAAACGAATCTTTTGATGAGATATTAAAGCATATTATACATACCTAATTTAAGATATGGATGAAAAAATTGAATTACTTCAAATTTGAAATTAGCAGTACAGTTATAGAGTAACTAGTAAGGTACAACGATACGGGAGTAAACAAAGGGGATTGAAAAAGGACTCCTCAAATATTCGAATTAAGTTACATTTTTCAACCAACTTAAAAAAAAGGACGTTTTGTTGAATATTTTTATATTTGTTACCTCATATATCCATCACTTATAAACATATATGTATGTACATATATACATTCAGATTGGTTCCAAAGAAATTAAAATCTATTGCATTTTTTTTTTTGCAGAACGTATAAAAAGTTAATCCAAAAAAAATACTTCGATCATAATAAAACCAGTTAGTTTAAAAACTAAACTGCTGTATCGATTTTGATAAAATTATACGACTAATTTTTAAGTATCATTTCAGAAAAAAAATCCAAATTGGTTTACAACTGACGGAGTCATGAAATAACAAACACCAAAAAAAAAAATACAATCGAATTAAGAAACTCCTTCTATTTGAAAATACCAATTGAATACGATAATAAAACGAAATAAGAATTTAATTAGATGGCGTTGTAAATTTTCGACCAATTACGACTTATACATATCTGCATTAGTTACGTTATGTACAGAGAGCCTACAATGAAATGTTTTCCGTAATTACGGAGTCAAACGAAACACAAATTTGATGTTAAAAATACATAATACAAGCCGTTTGGAAATATTAAAAATGTTAAAATATCGTACCTTTGGACTTTTATGATAGGATGTATGACGAACGAAATGTTAAACTCCATTTATTGATCCGATTTTGGTATAAACAAAAACACGAAATTGAGTCCGAAATTTCGGTATTTCATTTCATGGTAGACCCGCTGATTACGACGTCACTACAATCGATCATTTGTTAATCTGTACATATCAACAATTATACTGTTAAAGATCTATTTTTTTTTATTTGATATTTTTTTAATGGCTGATAATGGAATGGTAACTCCGTCTGCGCTATCGGTATACACTAGCGAGGCACCAGTGAGAGGTGATAGGTGAGGATGAAAGCAGGTCAGTTAGTCCATCGTGATTCCACTAGAATTAACCATGATGATTTCCAGGGGGAACCACGTGGAGGTCGACCTGATAGTGTATTGCTGGCAATTGGCCAGTTAGATCCCATTACTAATAATCCTTTTCCCCCTCTACTTTGCTGTTAATATGCTTGTGTAAGCTTAAACGCAAGTGTACACGATTATTTAAATTAGCCGCTAGCAATCATTTCGCGATCATTTCTTGTACAATTGTAACTTAATTGTTAAACAGTAAGTTTTACCAGAGGGAGACTTTGTACAAAAGTCGATTGCTTGGGTGCCTCTGTCCCATTCGTGTTTTTACCGTGAAGCAGTTGTATTTGCATGGCTGTGTTTCGGTTTGAAGGGTGGGATATGGCGTAAATTTACTGGGTACAGAGGAATAACGCCTGAGTCCTCAGGAATAGCAACGCATGGGGGGTATCATGGGCGAAACAGTATACTCTGTTATGTCCATGGTACTGCTCACGTCTATAGGTGACGGTTACCACTTTCAACCAGGTGGGCCGTTAGCTTGTATGCCATTCTAAGTTGTATAAAAAAAATACAAGTTAAAAAAGAACCTTGCACGTTGGCGAAGCAGTTGTTTTCTTTCTAATCCTGCTAACTTGTATCCCCACAATGGAGAAGTGAAGATTTTTCTTCTCCGGTAATGCCGGTATCCATCTTTCAACTTTTGCTAGCTCCATCCTGATCTTACACGTTCACTAAATACCAACTACACGTATTGAGCACGTAAATATCACTAACTACTTATTAGTATTTGAATTCGACGACTGTAAAGAATAAAACTAAAAGGAAATATCAAAATAAACCTACTTTTTGCTACAGTGCGTCGTCCATAGACAAACATTAAATTAGATATCGCAAACTGCACGTAAGTTGTACTAAAATTTTTTGCTCGAAGTAATCTCAAGAGGTTACTTGTTCTCTAATTTTAAATGTGTATTTCTTTATCAAATTTGACGAAAAAAAAATATATTGCAACGGCACAAACTGTGATATTTGTTAAAAGAGTTTCTCACTGTTAATTAAATTAAATTAAAATGTATTTATTGGAACCATACAAAAATGACAATTGTAGGGTAGTGTACGATAACAGCCACATTACATAACATTAGTAAGCACACAAAGTTAAAAAAAAAAAAACAACTTCCGTGACTCGTTTCCCACTATTTCAATCAAGTCATGAAATATATCGATTAATGTATCGATTATTGGTGCTAAAACGAAAATATTTATTTATTTATTTATTTATACAAGTACGGAGCTCGGGAGACGATTAGTTTTCATATACACTGCGACAACGCGTCCATTTCCATTTATGTCTATAGATATATCACTTTTTGTCCAGTGCTTTAACTCTACAGAAACTAAATTAAAAAATAAATAAGGAAATACATTTAATATACATAATTAATTAATTAGAGCGCCTTTTAATTAAGGAAGTAACCACTGCGAATCAAATCTGTTGGTAAGGTTTCAGTTTTGTTAGGCTTTTCTGGTACGAACGCGGCTCACACAGACTAAAAGGGGAAAGGGATTGTTAGTAATACAGACTACCAGTCCTATTGCTAGCAATATACCCTGTCAGGTCGACCTCCACGTGGTCTTCCCTGGAAACCGTCGTGCTGAATTCCAGATGTATTCATCACGATGGGCTAACTGACCTGATTTTTCATCCTGACCTATCACCCCTCACTGGAGCCCCGCCAGCGTATACCGTTAGCGCGGGCGGGGTTGTCATTCCATTATCATTCACTAAAAAAAAAACAGACTGTACACACTGGTTCACTTATTGATTACTTTTTTAAAAAAAAAATATATATATAGCATTTACTTTTTGTAATTAAATCATAAATTAATAAAAGCACTCGCGTTAGTAATTATATTTGGCGCGCGAATTAAGAAATATATTTAAGTTTCGTTTGACAAATTCACAAATAACAAAATAATGTTTGACCACGTCATATAGAGGTGACCATGATAATGGTTCGAATGAATCGAATCAACGTTATCAGCGGTGATTTAAGATCGATAGGCCAAATACTAGTGCAAAGTAAACATTTAAATTTTGTAAATTCGCAAGCTGTCTGTTCGAAAGGTTATTAGTGTTTTTATATAACTTGGAACGGTTAATAAGTTAACTTAAGTGTCACTCGGAGGCAAATAGTAACGTTATTTATAAACATGAACGGTCCCGTGGGTTTCACAGGATACACTGTGACGCTCACAGTAATATAACTTTTATTTACTGCTATGACGCCGCTCTTCTCTCTTTATTTATAAACCTGTATTTTGTTATGTCCAAGGTGCTGTTCATGTGTAGGCGACGGTTGCCACTTTCCATGTTGGGTCGTGTTTGCTTACCATTTCAAGTTGAATAAATACATGTCTTTTTGCATGCGACAGTTACTACTTTAGAGGACGTTCACGTATTAGTTAAGGCAATTTTTAAAGATTTTTGACCCTCTCTCCGCCCATATAACGCACCGTAACATTTGAACCGTTGATTTTGTCAAAAACATAATATAAAACAGACATAAAACAATGGTGATCCGCGTCACATAAAGCAAATGTATGTTAATGGAAAATATACTTTAATACAAAGATATAGAACAGAAACTGTCGTCAGTAAGTAGTACTCAACACTAGTTAGTGTGTCTCTATTAGGAGAACATTAGCTAATTGTTCTATGACGTTATGGTTGGCACATTTTATTTGCAGATATAAACAATGGGGAGGGCGAGGGTCTTCCCACATTTAGAGACCCATAAACATATAAATACAACTTGGGACCAGTATTTGTGTCAGTGTAACAAGTTTATGTATTTAGGTAACAAACATCTTGACATACATGCGTGCATGGACGAAATGGCAGTCGGAGATTGATGGCTAATATGGCAGGTTGTAGAACTTCTGGTAATAATAGTAGTATGTTCACAGTCACACACTTACTAATGGTAACGGAATTATTTGTCTAACTTAATATTTATTTAAAAATTACTTAAAATTCTTGTTGAATTTACCATTGTAAATGTAATGTGTAATTGTACCATGTTACCATTCCATTATCATCAATAAAAAAATCACAGTTTGGCTTTTGGTGATGTTTTAAAAGGGACACATAATTTAAGATTTTTTTATACAACTTAGAATGACAAACAAGCTGACGGCCCACCTGATGGAAAGTGGTAACTGTCACCTATAGACTTAGTAGTACCATGCACATAACAGAGTACACTGTTTCGCCCATAATACCCCCCATACATTGCCATTCCTGAGGACTCAGGTGTTATTCCTCTGTACCCTGTAAATTCACACCATATCACACCCTTCAAACCAAAACACAGCCATGCGAACACAACTGCTTCATGGTAGAAACACGAATGGGTCAGAGGTACCCAAGCAATCGACTTTTGTATAAAGTCTCCCTCTGGTCTATTTTCTTAATACTGGTAATAAAGGTTTTCTATCTATCTATTACAAGTCACCAAAATGTAGTAATAATGTGCAAATAATTCAAAAGTTTGAAATAAATGACTTTAGATATAAGTTATAATGTAAACTAAAAGGTAGATGTACTACTATCAATGGAATATTGTTATCAAACTGATAAGATGTTCCAGTCACTTTATCTGCTGTATCTGCATCAACATGAATTGCTTTATTAAATGCATTTAGCAATTCAGTTATGGCTATTAACACTCCTCACATATAATTAAATACAAAATACTGTTATTGAATCTTTTTTTTTTTCATATTTATATAATTAACAAGTAAACAGTAATGTCTGTTTATATTAAAATAACTAGCTTGCTCGTTACTTCAAACATATGGATTACAAAGCACAAAATTGACCTTTCTTCTTTGGAATGGCATATTTAGATAAAACATATACCAAATTTTAAGTTTAACCCTTAAAAGCCTGATTTTTTAAATCAAATTAAAAAATATATGGCGTGCATTTACTGGGTACAGAGGAATAACACCTGAGTCCTCAGGAATGGCAATGCATGGGGGGCATTATGGGCGAAACAGTATACTCTGTTATGTCCATAGTACTGCTCATGTCTATAGGCGATTGTTACTACTTTCCATCAGGTGGGCCGTCAGCTTGTTTGTCATTCTAAGTAGTATAAAAAAAAAATATCCTTTACTGTATTTACTAATGGGGAAAAATAGTAAAAAAATCAAAACGATATTTTTATATATTTATTTTGAAAAAAAAAAAAAACATTTGGTAACATATAAACAGCCAAATATTAAAATAAAATCGATTGTAGGCCCCCAATGCTATTTATAACCCTGGTATCAAATTTGAAACTTCAGGTATTTAAGGGTTAACCTTCAGGAATACAACTGCAAAAACTATGGTCAATTTGGTGTAGTAATTTTGCATAGTGTCAGAACACTATAAACTTACAATAGATGCCAAAACAATAATTTTTAGATATTCAACTATTCTGTCTGTTTGTTTGTCAACAAACAGACAGAATATCTAGAATACTTAGAACTTAGAAGAAAATTACTTCTACTTAAAACCCCCTCATATTATTTTTTCTAAATGTTGCCATCCACCAATTTTTCCCATAAACAACTGTCTAGTTATAACCTAATGTAACATAGTAACAACATAAATACAAATTAATAAGAATACATATGTTAATGAAAAATACTTGTTTTTATCATATTTAAATGAATAACTTTGCTAATGTGATTGTTGAGAAAGTCTGTTAAATAAAAAAAAAAATTGGGCTATATATTTACTTTTGTTATGTAGGTAATTATTAAATTTCTAAACATTATAATTCGCGATACTTCGAATGTATTGTTCGTTCATCGTAGTTGTCTTGCTGACATCAAAACAAACAAACCAGGAAATCTAGCAACCCTGAACATAACCTTGTTAATTAACACAAGCGTTACTCACCTTGCCCAGGTTTTCTACTGGAATCATTGACGGCGGTGGCTTCTCGTGCAAGCCCTGGAGGTCGCCGCCGGAGCCCGAGCGAGACGTGGAGCCGCGTTGGGAGCCTCCGCGAGATTTATCCGATTCATTCCCGACCTGTACACCAGCTGTTTTCTCGTGGCTATGATGGCTCCCCATTATCACACAATAAATTTAACAAATTACGTAACTAATCACTCTTTTCACTTAGAAAATAAAAATTACTAAAAAGTGCATATGGTAAAAATTACAGTAACTAACAAATAAAGAAAATTATAAAAATTTACAAAACGAATGATAGATAGAATTGATACAAACGTCACATTGCGCCAGTCAAAGTCAAATAGACACTTCCGTGACATTGACATATTATGTAGCCGCAGTCAAAATGAGATATCACAGATAAACTGCAATTATGTGTTGGAAACTCCAACAAAAATTAATACTAGCATAAAAACTTTTTATTATATTTTTTAATTTCAAATAAAGAATAAATAAAATTGTCATAAAAATGGAGAATAAAAAATTGTATTCCTAATTAACTTTGGCCTTTTATATATTAAATCCATGTATCTATATTGAGTACAATACAAAATTTGGTCCATTTCGAGCATCGTAAGGCAAGAAACAGCGAATTACAAAAAATCTCAGTTCAATATACGTGGATACGAGAAGCGCCATTGTTTCAAGAATACAACATATATGAAATCTATTCTCCTCCGTGCGTTCGACAGGCGATTGCAATTTTGTTGAAGTCTACAAGTAAATATTATATATTTCTCCGAGTGGTAACTACAATTTCTTTAGTTGTCAATTAAGAGATTTATATAGACGACGACAAACGATTATCTCAGTTGGCCTGCAAGAAAAATATACATCGAACAACGGCAAATTCATTCATGACACGAGGTGGGAACTACGATTTTTATATTCAATAAATACATTTGAACATTTTCCATTATATCTACATATTTTAATTTTGTGGCAATCATCGTGCAATGGCCACTGATAGTGAAACTTCACTACGCGCCTCGCGAGGCTATGTTAAAGGGGCGATTACTCGTCTTCACAGTTTTGTTAGCAACGAGTCTGAATTAGAAGAAAGTACCTTACAGGCCCTTACAACGCGTAAAGAAAGACTGCTCACAGCCTTCCGTGAATATGAAGGATTTAATATGCGGATTCTTTCAATGCGACCAGATGATGACGAGGACGTAGCAGCTGTTGAAGATAAATATCTATATACTCTTACCGTTCTTAATGAAGTGATTAGCCGTAAGACTTATAGTGTAGAGGACTCTAAAGGTCATGTTAGTACTATTGCACGGTCAAAAACTAAGTTGCCCGCGATTCAAATGTCCATATTTTCTGGTAATTATGTTGAATATGTAGCGTTTCAATCATTGTTTACTTCATTAATTCATAGTGACTTAACATTAGATAATGTTCAGAAGTTGTATTATCTTAGGTCTTATTTAAAAAACGAACCGTATGATCTTATTAAGAACTTACCATTAACAGCCAGTAGCTATGATCAAGCTAGACAATTATTGGAGGAGAGGTATAACAATAGGTATCGTATTGTAAATGAACATATTGGTCAATTACTAGACTTACCTGCGCTTGTCAAATCAACCCCTGAAAACATTCGGTATTTTGTAGCGAGTCTTAAGCAGACTTTGGCTGCTCTGCAAAACTTAGATATGAAGGTTGAAACTTGGGATCCAATAATTGTTTGTATTCTTAATCGTAAGTTAGATACATACACGGCTCGGTCGTATCAAATGGAGAAAGATACTGCCGAGGAACACAGCGTCAAGCACTTCATCGAGTATCTTGAGAAGAGGGCACTTGCATTGGAGAACGCTGCGCCGTCAACTGCGATGCCATCTAACAAGGCCAAGGGTTTATCAGTCAACGTAGCGGCTGCTGGTGAGAAAGTGGTGACGTGTCATACATATACATTCAAATTAATAACTTCTGTGGAACGCTATAAATTCTGTAAAGACAATAAGTTATGTCTGATTTGTTTAAATAGGCACAATGGAAAATGCAAATTTCATTTCAAATGCGATCTGTGCAAAAAGGCACACAATTCACTAGTTCATCATGACGAATGTGACGAAGTTCCTGTTTCCTTATTATCCAAGGGCCACGATTCTAATGTTTTGCTTCCCACAGTAAAAGTGAAATTATTCACAAAGGATAAAAAGACGATAATAGTGAAGGCGATTTTAGATACAGGTTCACAAGCCTCCCTCGCTACGAGCAAGTTAATCCAGCAATTAGGTTTAACTCCAATACCCAACAATACAAATATAATAGGTGTAGGCAATGCTCAGAATAATACAAGATATTGTATTCCATTAAACATACACTCTGTTAATTCTTCTTTTAATATGACTGCCAATTTTTATGTAGTCGAAAAAATTACCTGCAAGCATCCACAAACAAAACTTGATATTCGGCAATTGAAATTACCTCCCAATATAGTGTTGGCAGATGATCAATTTGATGTTCCATCTGAAATAAATCTCTTAATGGGTGCTGACATATTTTTCCATGCGATAATGCCCAATGTGCCTGAGCAACCGCGGTCTCGAAATCTGCACCGGCCACTACCTAGTCAAGGTGACATTACGCCCTGCATAATAAACACACGCTTTGGACATATTATTGGTGGTTCAATGCTTGAATATCAGCAAGCTTCAAAACAGGTAACATCACTATTATGTATCAAATGCGATCCTGAAATCAATGATAATATCAAATTATTTTGGGAAGCTGAGAGTATACCACAAACCTTTTCTGAGAATCAAAGTGAACAAGAGTTAGCTGAAACTATCTTTCAGAATTCTGTAGAATTGATTGATAATAGATTCCAGGTGAATTTACCTCTTAAAGTCGAGGATAATGAAATTCATAATTACTTGGGCAATTCTTTTGTTTTAGCTTGGTATTGATTTTTAAGTTTGGAAAGGCGTTTACAAAACAATATTAATCTATTGTCAGAATATAATAAATTTATTCATGAATATGTAGAGCTAGGTCATGGCGATTTTATTAATTTTGATTTCTATGATTTTGACAAAGATGCTGTATATTTTTTACCGCATCATGCGGTCATTAATGAATCGAGTAAAACTACTCGCACAAGAGTCGTTTTTGATGCCTCAATGAAGACGGATAAAAAGGTTTCATTAAACGATTTATTACTGAATGGGCCTTCAGTCCAGAAAGAGCTTTTTGATGTAATTTTATTGTTCCGAATTGGTAAATATACGTTTTCTACGGATATAAGGCGTATGTTTAGGAATATTCTGGTGAATCCCAAACACAGGGCTCTTCAAAATATTCTTTGGCGAAATAATCCTGATGAGGCAATAAAATGTATACGTTTAAATACTGTTACGTACGGTATGAAAAGTTCAAGTTATTTATCAACTCGTTGTTTACTCGAACTTACTAAACTATTTGGTCAAGAATTTCCTATAGCTTCATTTATATTGCGAAACTGTACTTATGTCGATGATATCCTCTATTCGTCATCAGATCTTAGTGAAATAAAAGAAGCTAAGCAACAATTACAGTCTTTGCTACAAAAAGGAAGTTTTGAAACACATAAATGGTCAGCTAATGATCCAGAAATTTTGTCTGATATTCCAATTAGTAAACAACATTTTGACGAGCTAGAGTTGCAAAAGGATAATTATAGCATAAAAGTATTAGGTTTAAATCTAGATGTAAAGAATGATTGGTTTAATATCACATGCCCAGAAACTATTGATATAAAATCGGTAACAAAAAAGTCAATTTTAAGCTGTATTGCTAAGTCTTATGATCCACTTGGCTTTGTGTGTCCAATTATAGTAAAGGCTAAGATTATTATGCAGAAACTGTGGGCTGAAGGTATTAGTTGGGATGCTTCTCCCTCCGATCATGTTAAAGAAGAATGGTTGTTTTTTATTGACGGTCTCAAGGCAATGGAACCTATTCATATTAATAGAAATATACCAATTCCATTAGGTTCTAAGGCTGTGCAATTGATCGGCTTTGCTGATGCCTCAAGTAAAATAGGCTACGGATGCTGTGTATATCTTAGAACGGTAGACTCTGATTGTAATGTGCGCATGTTTATTTTATGTGCGAAGTCCAGAATTAATTCGTTTTCGAAACCAATAACGATACCACGGTTAGAGTTGAATGCGGCCTTATTGCTATCAAGTCTAGTACGGAGGACATATGAAACGTTACAGCTCAAACTTTCAATTGATAATGTTTATCTCTTTACCGATTCTAAGATTGTTTTAAGTTGGTTGAATACTGATATTTTTAATTTACAAGCATATGTGGCTAACCGAGTAAAAGTGATTACAGAAAAGACTGTACAATTTCAATGGAATTATGTTAACACAAAAGAAAATCCAGCCGATTTAATAAGTAGAGGTATAGATCCAAAAGAATTACCATCTTGCTCTCTATGGTGGGACGGACCAGACTTTCTAAAAGACAATAGGTACAATTTTACAAACAAGGCTTCCTTACCTATCGACTTACCTGAATTGAAGAATTCTGGTGCGGCTATAAATTCCTCTAAGGTAGTGTCCCTCTCAACACAAATAAAGAGTGATATCTATCAGCTTATAGATAAGTACTCGGATATAAATAAAATGATCAGGGTGTTAGCCAACATATTAAGATTTTGTCATAATCTTAAAAATAAAAATGATCAGATTAAATGTAATTATTTAACTACAAAGGAATTGCAACAGTCATTGCAAAACATTATTAAACAAGAACAAAGTATCCATTTTAGCAAGGAAATAAAATCGTTGACTGAAAGCAAAGATGTAGAGGGTATTTTAAAACCTCTTCATATTTTCTTGGATAAGCACGGTCTAATAAGGGTAGGTGGAAGGCTTCATAATGCTGAAATATCTTATAATCAAAAACATCCTATTGTTTTACCGAAGCAATCGAGAATAACCGAACTTATAATTCAGAATGAACATATTAGAGATTATTTCATGCAGGTCCGAAGTTGCTCCTTTCGAGTCTTAATCAATGGTACTGGCTGATTAATGGCATGCGACAAGTTAAGGTAATAACTGTTTGCTTTAAATTGAAGGCAGAGTCAGATAGAGGGTGTCTTAAATTCAAGGCCTATTTTAACTATGAGTTCTGATATAATGGATTTTAGTTATCTAACTCCCGGTCATTTCTTGACTGGCAATGCTATTGTAGCTTATCCTGAAAATGATGTATCAGATTTACCTATTAATAGACTAAGTTTTTGGAAACAATGTGAACATTTAAAACAATGTTTTTGGAAAATATGGCATAAGTACTATTTAAATGTTTTGCAGTTTAGATCCAAATGGCAAAAGAGTTATCCTAATGTAACAGTAGGAATGTTGGTGATACTCAAGGACCCAAACAATCCTCCTTTGCACTGGCCTATGGCTAGAATAAGTAAGGTTTTTCCAGGTAGAGATGGGAAGGTTAGAGCTTTCGAAGTTGTAACACCTAATGGTAAAACTTATAAACGTTCCTTATCTGGTATATGTATTCTTCCTATAAATGATGCCTAGATTTAATTATTATTTGCTCATTTTAAACTGCTTTCTTTTTCTTCTTCTTTTAATGTATAACGATAAAGAGAAGTAAGAATATGTTATTTGTAATTGTTTAGTTATTTATACAATTTGTTATTGTTATACTTATTGTAATGTAATTGGGCATCACCCACAATATTGGATTTACTAATATAACTATCAACTGTAATATTTTTATGGTTTTGTTATGTTTATGCAAGTTGTATTAGTATGAAGTAAAGACATTTTCTGTTATATGTAATATGTTGTGTAGCACATGTTACTGTTCTGGTAATTTATCCACTAATAAACCGCTGGTGTGGCGAGCATGTTGGAAACTCCAACAAAAATTAATACTAGCATAAAAACTTTTTATTATATTTTTTAATTTCAAATAAAGAATAAATAAAATTGTCATAAAAATGGAGAATAAAAAATTGTATTCCTAATTAACTTTGGCCTTTTATATATTAAATCCATGTATCTATATTGAGTACAATACATTATGTACCATAGAATAAGTGTCGTTTAGTTTAAAAGCAACGATAGTTTTATATAGAATAAATTGTAAAATTAATCTATACAACCATTTAGAAGAATTCACACAATAAAATTAAAATAACCATAATATATGTATATTATAATTAGTTAATATAATATATAACTAGATATAATATATAACTTGTTATTAGTTGTTTCCAATTAAATTCCTGTCAAAATGATGATTGTCAGATTTAAGTTATACACAATAAGTTGTGCAACGAAATTTATACAACTGTATACATATATTCATCATCACCATCACCTCAGCCGTTATCTGTCCACTGCTGGACACAGGCCTCCTCCATAGACTGCCATAAGGAACACCAGTAATAACTTTATATATTATTACTGTTTATTTTTTTTAGAAATTTATGATTGATTTTTTATTATATTAGTTTACATATGTATTAAATTTATAATTGTATATTTGTTATAGAGAAATCTTTTATTGTGTTTATGAAAGTAATTGAAATAGGTTCAATAAAATTTAAATTTACCTAGGTATTTGATTAAAATTAAACATGACAACGCAGTTTTAATTTATTAAAAGTAAATTAATAAATAAATGTGTAGTTTAGATAGTGGCGCTTTTTCCTATAGTTTAATCACAATAATTTACTTGTACAAATTCAATATACTGGTCTCATCGCGAAAACATGCAATTCAATAATTTATCAAAGCTAGTAAATAATAATAAGAAGGCAGGGCTAGGGTATTTTTTTAATGGACGATAATGGGATGGTAACCCCGCCTGCGCTATCGGTATACACTAGCGGTGTACCAGTAGGAACGGCGAGGAGGTCGACCTGACAGGGTATATTACTAGCAATGGATACTATCCCCATTACTAACAATCCCTTCTCCCCCGGCAGGGCTAAACTTAAAAACTCGAGATTCTACTATCTCAAGTTTTTAAGTTTTGTGTGTGTGCGTGCATGCGTCCATGGGTACTAGCGTACGTCAGTCGTTTGTTTGTGTGCTAGTCGGTGAGTCGCCGCCTGATCAATGGAGGTTGTTTCCAACAGTCTATAAATAGGTACTCCGACGAATGTATGTAATTATGCAACTGCTAAAAGTAAAATAAGTATATATATATAAGTAATGTCAATGTATGGGCCAAAACAAATTAATATTTATCACATAAAAGTGTCTATATTTTATTATTATTTATTATTAAATGTTTCATAATAAATATTACGTATAAGTAATTCATTCAATTATTAATGTCATTTGTAATAACTTATACAGCTTTAGTACTAGGTAGTGTAATATTATATTATAATATTATATTATCTGTGGTTTTAGCAGCGATAATAATTGAATTTCAATAGGTACCCATAAAAGGTACTTAATAAGTATTTGCTGAATATATAATATATAAAGTGAATATAAAATAATAATAAATAACAATATTTATATTTTTATATAAACTATTTGGATATTAACAAAGTTAATATGGTACTAAGAGTGGCGTAATAAGATTGGTTATAATTATGCGGTGAAAAATTGAAAATTGTTGTACATAAACAATTACACGTGCGTGTCCATATTGACTTACAAATCATACAGAAAGGCGCGTAATTTTTTTTTTCAGAGGTCAAGAGTCTAAGGAACTAGCGTGTATGCATAATACGAGATATGGAAGTTTACGAAGCAAGAGATATGTGATTTAAGCAGTCGATTTTTTCTTTATAAGTAAGGGACTTGACGTGAAGATAATTAGATAGGTAGAAATACGTGGAAATACCTTAAAAACTTTAGTCTCGCCGTCTATTGTTCATAAACATGTCAATTTACTTCATAATCGGTATCACTGGGGAGATTCCACTACATTCAGACTGTTATTACGTATTAAACAGACCCGTTTTAAATCATAACAATTATTTGATATTTCTCATAGGTAGTAGCCACAAAGAACATAATTATTAGATACTAGTGCTCTACTTTGGCTTCGCACGGGTAGATAAATTGAAAAAAAAAAATAGTATTATATTAAGAATTACCTTCTGATCGCGTATTTTTTTTTTTGCTTTTTTTCGCACATCGCTTTGTCAACAAATAGCAGTACGAGTATTTAGCCATCTGGCGAGATTTTGAAAAACAATATCAATGTACCAAAACAAAAATCGCGGGATAACGTCAATAAACATAAAAATTGCGAGCACGTCGAAATTGCGGGATGCGTAAAATTAAACTAGTAGATACTGCTCGCGGAAATCGCGGGATGCCCGATCAGAGAGTTAAGAGACAAATTTTTGATACTTTGTATATATTCCTGTAATTTTCATAGAGATCTCTAATGTTTTTTATTTAATATACACATATAGTCTGTTTCACTCTTTGACAATATAGCTTTCTATATGTCAGTGGCGTAACAATAGGGTGGCAGGACTGGGACAATGCCAAGGGCCCCCGATCCAAAGGGGCCCCGGCTCAAGAGGCCGCGAGGTCAGAATCTGTTTTTTTACATTGTATCTGAGTATTTTATTTTACGTGATTTTTTTTATTGATAGGGCCCCATCAAAATAATTTACCACAGGCCCCAAATGGTATAGTTACGCCACTGCTGTAGGTGAGAGAATTTTTTAAATACTTTTTTCTGTTTATCCATTACAAACACACAAAAAAATTAAATCTTTCCTCTTTATAAATATCTATTTAGATAGATAGATAAATACTCTTTATTGTTTCCTCCAAAAGATTATAATTGTAAACTTATTTATTTATTTATTAAGAAAGAATATATAATTATATTAACTGCCTAATCTCGCACATAACAAAAACCATTTAACAATAGACAAAAACGAAAAAACAAATGGCGTCACTCAACTATATGCCATGTTCTTTCACATCATAATGCTGATTTTCAAAGACACCAGTTTTATATTAATACCAATAATAATAGTACCAGGATCTTGCAATAGCAGTGAAAACACAATGGCAAGCCCATACAGCACATATTGTACCCATTGTTCTATCTTCCACCGGCATTATCCCAAAGACTCTAAGTAATAGCCTACAAACACTAAATATCCACATTAATCAAACATACCTACTACAAAAGGTCACTATCTTAAAATACCTGCCATATTACCAGAAAATTCCTCGCCTCGTCTACTATTACATCTTTCTATTTTGAAACCTCTGCTACACTTGGTTAAGGCCCGTGTCGGTGAGTAAACCTTCGTCCGTGTGACGAAGAGAAAGAAAAACAAAATCAAAATAACAATAATTTTATACCAAACGACAAAAGACTTTTGTACAAAGTCACCCTGTAATTTTTGAGAAGAATTCGAGAGAAGATTCCGTTGCACAAAAAAAAAACTGTCTTAAATTGATGGAGAAAATAAATTATTTTCATTTAAAAATTACACTACTAAACCGAGTTTGATAAAAATTCTAACGTTCCAATCTGCAAATAATAAGATTTATAACTGACAACAGTTATGAGGTAACAAACATTAAAAAATACAATCGTATCGAAAACCACCTTTTTGCGGTCGGTTGAAACCTTGAATAACGTATCCATATAAATAGCCAAATAACAGGTTTCCACTGACGTAGCGATACAAATTAGTGGCGACAGAAATAGGTAGTTACTAAATTTAGCAGGTCGTCACACAACTATTGTTACACTATACAAACATCGTAACAATAAGTTAATGTACAGGAGTTCAAATGGGAACATAGTGGGTAAAAACCATGAATGCATCCTTAATGCACCAAATTGAATGCAATTTTTACAATTGTGTTCCTGAAAGTCTAACTATGTTTAATCGGGGGGAAAGGGATTGTTAGTAATGGAGACTAAAAATCCCATTGCTAGCAATATACCCAACCAGGTCGACCTCCTCGCGGTTCCCCCTGGAAACTATCATGGTTAATTCCTGATGAATTCATCATGATGGGCTAACTGACCTGTTTTCATTCTCATCGATCACCCTTCACTGGTGTTGGCCAGCGTATTCCGTTAGCGTAGGCGGAATTACCATACCATTTTCATCCATCAAAAAAAAAAACTATGTTTAATCTTGATACATTATATGCAAGTGGTCTATTTCATCAGTTTTCATACTGCTGAAATCTACGCGTCTAAATTAGCGGACAGAAAGCTTGTAAATAAATAATACTAGTATAATATTACAAGTTCTTTTACATTGTTACGGAGAAGAGTATTACATGTAATACGTGTGGGGAGCGGAAGCAAAATCCTTCATAAAAGAGTTGAGTCTGCGCATTGCGGACAGGGGCCATGATCGTCGTTCTGGTTCGTATCTGGCTCAAAGGATATCTCTGGCAATCATGAATGGGACTATATATATATATATATATATATATATATATATATATATATATATATATATATATATATATATATATATATATATATATATATGTAATATTCTTTGTTACCAAAATAAAACAAGGTCGACCTAGGTAACGAGCATCCATATCTTTGCCATGACTTTGTCAGTGTCGTTCTGGTAAAACAAGTTTTATCAGCAAATGACCTTTTTTGTTTAATATTGTTAAAATTGTTATATATATTTTTTGTTTAAATTGTTATATATATATTGTCCTGCCAAGTTTGGAGTCCGCAATATAATGTATACATATCAAGACTTGAGTATGTTCAATAAAGATTTAATCCTTATATCTAGTATAAATTTAAAATTCCGTATTGTTACCACATCAAGCGTTGTAATCGCTTGCACTTAATACCTCTATTCTGCAGAAAAATGCCTGATACGATGTTGATGATGAACTTATCCAGGAGTTTGATCGATTGCCCATCCTTGTTGAGCAAAATTTCCCTAAAAGTTCCTAATACAAGTACTAACTCGCGTCACTTTACGTTTTTTAATATTCCACTGCCTCGCGCTGCCACAGTACAGAAGCAACTGCTTTATAATATGAGCTTCCACTATTTTCAATGATGTATGTAGTAGGGGTAATGAAATAAATATATTTAATAAAAGAAGCAGTTATATAAGAAAAAACATCCAAAATTATTCATTCTGTGATTTTAACGACGTTTAGCGTGTATTTACACACTTATTAATTATCTAGACTGTATCTAATTTAATTTTTGTTAACTATATGTGGTAGCTTGTAATTAGATTATTGTTGTCATATATATTTAACTGTTATATATATACATATATACATATGCGACCCCGGCCTCCCGAGCCGCTGCAGTGTCCCAGTCCTTTCCGCAATTGCAGTGTCCCCCACCCTACCTTTCCCACATAAGTCCCTTATTCCTCTCATTCATCAATTTCCTTTACACATTTCCAATGTTCCCTTCCTTTTTTCCTCAATCCTTTCCTCCATACCGTAGGTGGAGGAAACCACTAACAAATACATTCCCAAAGAGGGTTGACGTGAGGCAGGTGGCCGGTCGTAAAACTAAAAACCAAATCTTTTTGTAATATGGACAAAATCATATTACGTCGACCCCAAATGATTGGGATAAGGGTAGGAAGATGATGATGATGATAAATTTAACTGTTATTATAGTTTGGGGGGAGAAGGGATTGTTAGTAATGGGGATTAGCAACCTCATGGCTAGCAATAAACCCTATTAGGTCGACCTCCACGCGGTTCCCCCTGGAAACCATCTTGATTGATTCGTTGTTGAATTTGTCAGGATGGGCTAACTGACCTGCTTCATTCTCACCTGTCATCCCTCACTGGTGCCCCGCCAGCGTATACCGATAGCACAGACGGGGTTGCCATTCCATTATCATCCATTAAAAAAAAAAAACTGTTATTATAGCAGGAAGCTTCCCTCAGAAATAATAAATATATATATATAAACCAACACTAAAAGGTTAGGCGCTTTATATAGCGGAAATAGGTATTTTACATAATCAATTACATTACGAAAATAACTCAAGTAAATCGATCTCATGACCGTGTCATAGATAAAGCAATAATATTGTCTCCGCGGTCTTTGTGAAATTCAAATGTTCAACCTTTCATAGGTACAAGTTATGCAGTTTGTTTTTAAACGACTTCAAAAAAGTAGAAGGTCTACAAATCGGTTCTATATTTTTTACGTTTGTTATCTCAAAAATCCACCATTTATAAAACTATTTGGAAAATTCTGTTTTTATTAATACAGCACCGTTAATATAATTAAAGATCGTGGCCCAAAAAAATACGCCTAAAAAGTCCTATAGGCGACGGTTATCACTTTCCATCATGTGGGCCGTCAGCTTGTTTGCCATTCTAAGTTGTATAAAAAAAAAAAGATATAACCGAATAGAAAATCTCGTGTGATGAAAATGCTAGAGAAAAAGTAGCCTATTCCCTTCTTCATCTCATATAGCACGTGTATATCAAATTTCATAGTTATTGGATAAGCCGTGAAGGCACCAAGAGATTACAAACATATAGACTCGCTTTCACGTTTATAATATTAGTAAGGACTTTCTATCTTAGCCGTGTAGTCCCGGCATAGACAAGGCCACCTCTTTCTTTCCCGTGGGTGTTGTAAGAGGCGACTAGAGGAGGACGAGGAATGGGCAGCAGCGTCTCTCTTAGGACATCTCCAAAGCCTAACTGCAGCCAACCCGCCAGCCAAACGTGGCAACTACTGGCAAAACATCTCAAAGCGGTAGCTTATGTTCAGCAGTGGATAGAATATAAAAATAGAGTTACAGGCTGATACCACGAAGGACTTTCTATCTAATATTACCTATGGCTGAATAAAATGCAAACACGCACAAAGCGGGGGGAAAGGGATTGTTAGTAATGGGGTCAAATAGCCCTGTTACTAGCAATATACCCTGTCAGGGGGGGAAAGGGATTGTTAGTAATGGAGTTTGACAGCCCCATTGCTAGCAATATGCCTTATTAGGTCGACCTCCACGTGGTTCCCTCTGGAAACCATCGTGAACAATTCTTGTTGAATTCGTCACGATGGGCTAACTGACCTACTTCATCTCCTCACCTATCATCCTTTACTGGTGCCCCGCCGGTGTATACCGATAGCGCGGGTGGGGTTACCATTCCATTATCATCCATAAAAAAAATATACCCTGTCAGGTCGACCTCCACGCGGTTCCCCCTGGAAATCATCGTGGCTAATTCTAGTTGAATTCGTCAGGATGGGCTAACTGACCTGCTTTCATTCTCATCAGTCATCTATCACTGGTGCCCCGCCAGTGTATACCGATAGCACAGGTGGGGTTACCATACCATTATCACATATTAAAAAAAAGCACGCACAAAGCATACAGCTGTTACTGTATCATCGTTCAGACTCAATAAGTAGGTATCTACGTAACATAATACTACGGTGGAAATACGTTTTTCCAACGTCAAGCGAGGAAATGATGGGTGCCTTCGACCTACCGGTTTATCCGTTGAGTGTGTTAGCAAAGAGTTTATAAATATGTCCGCGGCGACACCACGGTCCACCAGTGACGCGCCTGGTGGAGTGTGCGTGTCTCGTGGACTGATGATAGAAATGAAGGCGGTGCCGTGTTTAGTGATTTGTTTATTGGCGGGAGTGAACGCTGGTGATTTCACCGGTATGGTTTTCATCACCAATACATATGTATATGTATGAGTGAACAAAATCGCTTCCCGCCGTCTGTACGCTTAGATCTTTTAAACTTCACAACGGATTTGAAAGCTGTTTTCATGGATAGATAGAGTGATTAAAAAAGAAGTTTCATGTGCAGAATTTAATATTGTTTCGTGTTAATTTTTTTTTATACCACTGAGGTGGCAAAGCATACGGCCCACCTGATGGTAAACGGTTACCGTAGCCTATGAACACCTGCAATACCAGAGGTATTACGCGTGCGTTGTCGACCCTGAAGACACCTCTTTAACCCCATTTTGAAGAACCCCATGCTGTAGTCCCTTGGGAAAACCTCGGCAGGGAGCTCATTCCACAACCTGAGTATTCGTAGGAGGAAACATCTGTTAATTGTTAATAAATGAAGTTAAGTTCAAGATGTCGTAAGAAATCAAGTCGTCTGAGAAGCTTTCATTGAAAATGATAACAAAATAATGTTTTTTTTTACACCACTGAGGCATACGGCCCACCTGATGGTAAGTGGTTACCGTAGCCTATGAACTGTATAACGGAATTGTTTTGTTTTTATAACTTTATATATATATATATATATATATATATATATATATATATATATATATATATATATATATATATATATATATATATATATATATATATATATATATTATGTGGACTTTGGAAAGCTATTTAAATGGATACAATAGTAATATTATAAACCACTTCACACTGACACCACATTGTTACTGCACTGCACCCGTGTAAAGCCGGGTTGACTCGCTAGTTATATTTTAATTGTAAAAATAATCTGTTTGACTTATAATTAGTTTCGGGACCATCCGTGACACGTAATCGTAAGTGGCTATGAAATAAAATTATATCAATCTTGTAATAGGTAAATTTTACCACACAAACATATATGAATGAATGAATGAATGAGTATACTTTATTTGCATTATACAATATAGGAAATAAACAAGACAATTTACAAATATAGCGATACAATTGTATAAGTACAGTGAGGCGGTCTTATTGCTGAGAGCAATCTTTTCAAGACAATCTTAGGGTGTATATATATATATATATATATATATATATATATATATATATATATATATATATATATATATATATATATATATATATATATATATATATATATATATATATATATATTTTTATATATATAAAAACAACGCGTCAAACAACAATTAACTGATATATTATTAAAAATATCCCAACTGATTTTTGAGACGTTTATTAATTTTTGACGTTCTATTTTAGCTTCTATTTAATGAATATTGTGATAAATAAAATATATACACAATATGTATCTGAAAATGAAAAATTATATCAATATATATATATTCTTTATTGCAGTAAAACATACAGTAACAACAGTAAGTTGATAACAATGTTAGCAAAGGCGAACATATCTCTAAAAGAGATCTCTTCCAGCCAACCTAACACAGTGGCATAGCAAGTAGTGAGTGGGCAGTAGTAGTGCAGTAATAGGGCAGTAGTATCAATCTATTATAACAAATTAATTTTTTTTTTTTGATGGGTGAAAATGGTAATGGTAACCCCGCCTGCGCTAACGGTATACGCTGGCGGAGCACCAGTGAAGGGTGATAGATGAGAATGAAAACAGGCCAGTTAGCCCATCATGATGAATTCATCAGCAATTAACTATGATAGTTTCCAGGGAGAACCGCGAGGAGGTCGACCTGGTTGGGTATATTGCTAGCAATGGGATTCTCAGTCTCTATTACTAACAATCCCTTTCCCCCCAACAAATTACATTAACATAGTGACCTTTTTAGAGACAAATAAAAATTATAGTTATTTTTAATTTTTTCATTCTAAATCCCTAATTCGTTTCGAGCACAGACAATAATAAGCTATTATTATACGAGAAAATGTATTCGGACAGTGACGGATAAAATCGAAACGGGTTTTTGTTTACCTGTTTTATATTTGTAGCGTGTGTTTATATTGTTATTCTAAATAAAACAAAAAATATATATAATACTGTAGCAGCATTTAGTTTGACGCATATAAGTAGGTATTTAAATTAATTCGTTTATTTTGACAACGTTTTAAAGGGCAAAGAAGTAATAAATGGAATATTTTATCAGACATTAATTCAGTTATAAAAATACTCACTGCAATTTCTGTCTATATTTTTAAAGTTGCAATATTTATTGAAATGAATGCGCATTTCAGACATTACAATCTAAGCAATATTCTAGACCAGAGATCCGCAGACATTTTTTCCCACAGATCACTTTCAAAATTTAGCTGGTTTCGGTGGACCCCCTGCAGTTACATTTCTACCATATTTCCAAAACTTGACGAAAAATATGAAGATTAAATCTAACTATGGAAATTTGTGTTAAGTTGTGTTGGTTTCCAGGAGAAACCACATGGAGGTCGACCTGACAGGGCTTGTTAGCAATGGGACCATTAATCCCCATTACCTGGGGATTGATGGTCCCCAAGGGATTGTTAGTAATGGGAACTAGTAGCCCCATTGCTAGCAATATACCCTGTCAGGCGACCTCCTCGTGGTTCCCCCTGGAAACCATCGTGAACAATTCTTTGAATTTAGTTGAATTCGTCACGATGGGTCAACTGACCTGCTTCATCGTCACCTATCATCCCTCACTGGTACCCTGTCAGCGTATACCGATAGCGCAGGCGGGGTTACCATTCCATTAATATCCATTAAAAAAAAGTCCCCATTACTTACAATCCCTTTCACCTCTAATTACTGATATATGTTTCTTTTTGTGATGAATAGACCTCAATTGTGTTAGGGGGGAAAGGGATTGTTAGTAATGGAGACTGAGAATCCCATTGCTAGCAATATACCCAACCAGGTCGACCTCCTCGCGGTTCTCCCGGGAAACTATCATGGTTAATTTCAGATGAATTCATCATGATGGGCTAACTGGCCTGTTTTCATTCTCATCTATCACCCTTCACTGGTGCTCCGCCAGCGTATCCCGTTAGCGCAGGCGGGGTTACCATATCATTTTCACCCATCAAAAAAAAAAACCTCAATTGTGATTGAATTGGCTTAACTGTATACACACATACTAGCGACCCACCCCGGCTTCGCACGGGTGCAATGCTGATACTAAATATACCTACCTATTACAAAATGTACTTCTAAACGTTTACAGCTTTTTGTCATTAGACAATACAAACATGATAAAGTGCTATAGGGCGAAGCGCGCTAAAGTATTTCGCTTTTTAAATTTATCAGTGTTTCTCTACAATAATATACATGTATTATACATATAAACGTTCCTCTTGAATCACTCTATCTATTAAAAGAAACCGCTTCAAAATCCGTTGCGTAGTTTTAAAGATTTAAGCATACATAGGGACGGATAGACAGCGACAGCGACTTTGTCTTATACTATGTAGTGATGATGGTATATACCAACTATTCTGCAGGCGGAAACCTTATAAAAACGTGTTATTTCATTATCAGATGAAGAGTACTACAGCCTGCCATTACTGTTCCACCTGGACCGCTATGACGCGTGCCTCTCCAGCACAGACGGGCTCTACTGCCTCGGCACCTTCCACCTCACATCGGAGCAGCGGAACCCCATATATAAAATTATGCAGGTAAGTAATCACATACACTCTTATACTGTACTGTACTGTCTCTTCTTACAAAGTTCACTTCTTCTTTATCTTATTGACTGACTAGTCAACAAGATAAAGAAGAAGTTTTATCTTTTTTATTTAGAGACTTCTAAATAAAAAAGATAAAAAAAAATCTTGTTGATTGAAAAAGTTCGTCCACAATTGGCCATGAATAGTTATCATTTGAGGCTTTTATATTTGACCTGATGATTTGTCACGTACATTCCATTCTTGCTCATTATTTTTGCCGGCTACCAGATGAGTAGATTTTGCCAGTAAAGAAGACTGTACAAAAATCTCACATAAGTGAAAATAGCAAACAAATATTGGTGTTTGAAGATTATTGTCCAAGGAGATGTTTTGGCGTCTTAAAAAGGCACTTTTTTTTAATAGATGATAATGGAATAGTTACCCCGCCTGCGTTAGCAGAATACGCTGACGGGGCACCAGTGAGCGATTTTTTTTAATGGGTGAAAATGGAATGGTGACCCCGCCTGCGTTATCGGTATACGCTGGTGGGACACCAGTGAAGGATGATAGGTGACAATGAAAGCAGGTCAGTTAACCCATCATGACGAATTCAACTAGAATTAACCAGTAGGAAGATGATGAGGTGATGATCATTATTACATTTCGGACACGCGGACGAAATCCAGTATAAATAAATCTTCACCTTCCCAGGAGTATTCAAACAACAGTGATCATTACAACCACACGCAACTGCACCGTGGTTACTGCGTGAGCGCGCGCTGCCCGCACACCGCGCCCGACTGGAACTCGACGCAGCGCTTCGAGAGGTGTGCGCAGGAGTTGGTGCGCGGCCGGTCACTGCGCTCAAGCTTACACCAGCTCCACTACTGCCACACACACAAGGATGCGAACACCTCCTTCGTACCCGATACGCCGCAGATAGTGTTCGTCGCCATCGTGGCGGTTTTCGTAGTGATCAACGTCATCGGCACCACATACGATCTGATGTTTAAAGATGAGTTAAAAAGTGAGCTTCGATCTTATTACCATTAAGAACTTACTTTTTTCGTGAAGTAAACCACTGAAGGTCACTTGTTCCTACTGATGGTTGAGTCGCCTGGGGACTGTATCACGTATTCACCGTGATGCAGTACTGTGTGTGAGTTTCTGCCTACAGACTAAGATTTCTAATGGAATATAAAACAACATATTGAAAACCATATAGTACTCAGAAGCGGGAGCTATTTATTTATTTATTTTTGAAAGATACATCAACGATATGAACACATATTAATATTAATTGACATAAAGGGCTTGCGTCTTACATTTACATCAATTATAGAAGCACACAACATTTTCTTAATACATCAATCGTCACAATAACAAAATTAACATGACAAAAAAATTCGCCGTGTGGTCCCGAAGTAGAAAAGGTCACCCCTTTCTTTCACTTGGGTGTCGTAAGAGGCGACTAAGGGAGAGCGAGGAATAGGCCGCAGCGTCTCTTAAAACATCTCCAAAGCCTTACTACGGTTGCCAAGCGTGGCAACTACTAGCAAATCCTCTCAAGGTAGAGGTTTATGTTCAGCAGTAGACAGTTAAAGGTTGATAACTAAAAAATTAAAAAAATATGACGTACAAGGCAATAGAGGAATATTAAAGAAGGTATGATCAAATTAATACTATGTATACTACTGCAGTTACAATAAGCAGATAGCAGTTAGGTAGTTCTTAATTGTGTTTTGTAATATCTGTGTTTGTTCATATTTGTTTTGTTCATATCTATAGGTGTTTCTTGCCATTTTTACCAAGATCTTGACATCCACAGTTCCTGACATAAATTGCCAATTTGCTTGTTACAGAATCTAAGGTGCTCTGTGCGTGGTCTGTTATTTCCAACTGGCAGCGTCTGATTAGTGATCGCGTGCATTCGGACCCGGCGCGCGCGGTCCTGCTGCCCCTGGAAGGAGTTAGGTAAATATTGCACTACTTGCATAGGTTCCAAAACCTACGGCTCTCATTTATAAAGATTAATCCCAATTCTAGCAAGTGCCAACAGTATCTAACATCAACAGAAGTTCATATTATTTCAATTAATGTCTTAATATACAACGAGGGCGATAAATAAGCACATGGTTGGCCAAATTGTAAATGGCCACTGTCGTGGACGCTTTAGATTCTTGATGCATCCGATATGAAGTTCTCATAGTGATTTCTTTATCATGCTTTAAATCCTAACATCGTTTTTCTGCTCTTTTTTTAATGTATGATAATGGTATCCCCGCCAGCACTAACGGTATACGCTGGCGGGGCACCATTGAGGGATGATAGGTGAGAATGAAAAAGCAGGTCAGTTGGCCTATCATGATAAATACACCTGGCATTCAGCACAATGGTTTCCCTCCTTCCTGCTCTTATTCTCTTGGGAAATCATTTGTTTGTTGTATCCGCCAGGTATGGTAAATTATAAATTAACAATCCTAAGCTCACATGTAATATCGAACCCTTAAATCTAAGACGAGACTTTGCTTCTCTTTGTATGTTCTGTTGCTTGTATAACAAATTGTGCTCTGGGGAATTGTTTGAAATGATGTCCACAGTCACCATTTATCATCGCACACATTTGAAACTAAAAGATCACGTACAGTGCGGTTTCAACAGAATTTTCTCCCGCGAACACTCAGTTTGTGGAAGGAACTTCCTGGCGAAAAGCGCCAGGAAGTTCCTTCCTGATTTTTCAAAAAGGGTATATTAAGGTTTCTTCTGGGTCGGCAACGCGCACGTGACACCCCGGAAGGGTTATATGCTTGTTTGCCTCCTTCGTGTTATAAAAAAATAAACTATTTAATACTCTAACACAGCTCAAAAATAAATTATAAACTGATGGCTCACCTGATGATGAAACTGCTAGCTATGGGCTTGAACAATACAAGGATGTGACACACAGCGATTGTGATTCCGTTTATTATACCCTAAATTCCTTTTTGCATTGCAGGGTAGTCCTGTTAGCTATAGTAGTGGCGGTCCACACAGGATTTATCCACTACATGCTGTATGCATATGATCCCCGGGCGTTAGAACGAGTAAGTTTAAAACCAGTTTTTTAATAAGTCATCATCATCGTCATATCACCTTTTAACTGTTCACTGCTGATCATAAGCCTCCCCTTAGGGGGAGGGGGGTTTGCCAATAATTGCCATACTTGCGGCGGATTGGCAACCGCAGATTGGCTTTGGGGATGTTTTAAGAAGGGCGCTGCTGCGCATCCCTCGTGCTCTCTTAGTTACCTTTCTCGACACCCACAGGAAAGGAAAGGACTATTTGACGCCGAGACCACACGGCAATTGTTTAATTAGTGTTAAACTTAACTTCTTTCCTTTTATAACATGAGCTGAGACATCATACAGTGGTGCACAAAACGAAACTATTCCTACAGTTGTCTCTGAAGGGAAAGGGATTACCCACCACAGTTAAATCTTGATGAATTCATCACAATCACCTGATCTGGTTTCATCCTTGCCTATCTTCATTTATTGGTACCCCTCCAGTGACCAGTGCCAGTCCTATACCGATAGCGCAAACGGGGTTTTTTTTTTGATGGGTGAAAATGGTATGGTAGCCCCGCCTGCACTAACGGGATACGCTGGCGGAGCACCAGTGAAGGGTGATAGATGAGAATGAAAACAGGCCAGTTAGCTCATCATGATGAATTCATCAGGAATTAACCATAATAGTTTCCAGGGGGAACCGCGAGGAGGTCGACCTGGTTGGGTATATTGCTAGCAATGGGTTTCTTAGTCTCCATTACTAACAATCCCTTTCCCCCCTACAGCAAACCATTAGGTTATCTAAGTATGTATGTAAGAATTCTATAAGTAAAAAAAGAGAAAATTAAAATAAAAGTCCGAAGTCCATATTAAACATTCTAAATTGCTTAGAAAAACATGTTTTTTTTTTTATTTCAATAGGTACACATTACAGAGAATTAACAATATTACATTAATTTTTACAGTACAATAATGTTTTATTCAAGCTAACACTCCAAAACATAAACACACGCAGCTAAACAAGTCTGTAAACACAATAATATATAATAATTTATACAACAAAAAATTATTTCAATTACACATTAACAACTATAAAGGTAAATATACAAACACACACACACACACACACACACACACACACACACATATATATATATATATATATTGATGATTAATCCACCTGTTAGCGATTATTAAATGTATTACAAATGTAGTTTTTGTAGATAAGTATATTACTAATAGTTGATCGACTAGAAACAAATCCGTGTTGCATAGCATGCGCTGTTTAACATGGTTATACAAATGAATATATATTAAAGATTCGAATAATTTGGGCATACAAGACAGTATATTTATCGGTCGATAGTTTTCACACTTCACTTTATCGCCCGATTTGAATTTAGGTATAATAAAATAGTTTTCCAACAAGATGGGAAAGAACCGTGGTGTAAAGATCTATTAAATAAAACTCCCAAAGGTACACTAATTTCTTCAACATAAGCTTTAATAAAATAGGCTGGTATAGCATCTGGCCCCGCGCCTTTGTTAGAATCTAATTTTTTGATACCGTTAATTATATCCTGCGAAATTATACTTGAACTACTCAAGACTGGCGTGTTTATTTGTGTCAAGGTACTGTTGATACTTTTTTGTCCTTTCTCTAAAAATCCGATGGTGACTGTGAATTCATCCTGTAATGCAGTAATAGCCAAGTGAGAAAAAATCTGCTTTAAACCTTTCCAATCTAGAATCCAACAAAACGCCAAATTGTCAGCGAAATAGTATGGTTTTCAGCAGACACGGAACATTCCATTTCACTTTGATTCATAGTAACATCACGTGACATCACCGATTCGTCAAGTGTATTTGGTTTACGGTCTAGGGTATTCATGTTGTCCCTTCGCCGAGTAATATTGATGCATACACGACATTGCCATGGCTTATTACTTAATTTTAAATTTTGATAAGTATTCAAACTCATATATGGATGGGAGCATAAAAATTTTAGATATGTTCAAGTGGGGCATGACACAAAAAAGGTTGGGAAACACTGGGTTAGATACTTCGGTGGAAGAATTAAGGAAACATCCAAAGTGACCTTAGAACATTATCGTCAGTAATGTATGAGATGCTAAGCAGTGACCTTAGATTAGGTATATTAGGAATACGACCTTTGAGGGCTAGATATATTACTATATATAGGTATATTGATACATTATGTGGCTGGACATCGAGATTATAACTTGTATGTATGGAAAACATAATGGAGACATTGAAATAAATGAAACAAATACTTATTACATACATACATACATATCTGTCACGCCTGTCTCCCATTAGGGTAGGCAGAAACAATGGAACGCCAAATGCCTCGATTCAAACAAACCTCTTTCGCTTCCTCCACATTCATCAATCTTTTCATACACGCTCGCCGGTTACGGGTACTTTTAATTAAAATACAAATACTTATTTTATAAACAAAATCTATTTCATATTGTATAACAATTATTGGTTTAATATACGTGTATTTTGATTGCACGCTCGCATCTCTGCTGCTCACGACTAAGAGTCCCAAATAGTTCTGAAACTAGTTACGTTTTCTAGACTTATTTTAGTCGTCCAACCAGTACTTATTATATTAAAATGTAACGTTGAACAATAAAATCTAATGCTAGATAAGAGCATAAGAATATTCCTCCGAAAAAATTAACAATTACTTTTGTGAATTTAGACCGCGGAATAAGTGTATCTATAAATAGGTTACGCTTTGCGACAACTAAATATAAAAATATGAGACAAGGAATCTCCTATGATGGCAAAAACAATTATGAAAAAGTTCGAAATTGGCGACGTAATCGAGTATTTTTTATAAAGGGTAAAATTGAAATGGTAACCAGTGAGAGATGATAGGTGAGAATGAAATAGGTCAGTAAGTCTATTGTGACGAATTCAACAAGAATTAACCACGGTGGTTTCCAGGAGGAACCGCGTGGAGATCAACCTGATAGGGTTGCTAGCAATGCACTTTAAAAGCTAATAATCCCTTTCACCCCATAATCGCGTAATATATATATATTCTTTATTGCACTTGTAAGTTACATATAAAATAATGTATTTATAAATGTTGTGAGCAAGGGTGGACTTATCTCTGACAGAGATCTCTTCCAGTCAACCCAGTACAGTGAGAAAGCATTTCGTTAGCGGGCAGCTGAAGTGCTACAACTATTAATACATAAACAAATATACAGTTAAATAAAATATTAAAATATATAATAAAATATTACATAAATACATACACTATAAATATATACAATACTTACCTACTTATATAGTATATGTTAAAATAAATTAATATACTACTTACATTAGAAATTTCGTTTAATGATTTTAAGATTTGAGAGTTCAATTAGAAAAATACAAAAAAAAAAAAATTACTCAAGGAAAAGAAAATGTGATTTTAACCTCTTCTTGAAAGAGGTAATAGAGGGACTCTCTTGTATGTGGGAAGGGAGTTTGTTCCATAACTGGACATAATATACACATAAAAAAAAGTATACCGCAAATAAATGCGAGCAAATAAAGTTCATTCATTCATTCATTCATACCTATTGTGAACAAAATTTTGTAAATCCCTTAAAAAGAATATGAAATATGTGAAATAAAGTATGTGAAAACAGGAAAGATAAAAATTCTCACATCAATCGTATGACTGCCTATTTTTATTTTTAAATAACAATTTAATTAACTTGAAAAGGTTTGCTGGAAGTGATCTTTTATTGGAGATAAGCTCGCCTTTATACATTTAAAATGAATTGTTCTTATCATTATGTATGTGTTTTTTTAAGCAACTAAGAATGGCAAACAAGCTGACGGCCTACCTGATAAAAAATTGGTAACCGTCGCCTAAAGTCATGAGCAGTACAATGGACAATAAAAAATAAAGTATGTATAGCTCACAATAGGATTTATTTTGTACAAACCGCTGTCCTGACGACAAGTTTCATATATGGATTCGTGTAATTTAGGGATTTCTAAGCTAAACCTCCAGGTGAATATTGTCCTCTTGCGATGTTGGCAGATGATGCAGCACCCGCTATTGCTGATCGTGAAGAACGGCACAGCGATGGTGCAGTGCTTCATGGTGCTTGCCAGCTTCCTGTTCGCTTACAACATTCTCCTGCACTCGAAGAATCACGAGGTCACGTTCCGCATGTTGCCCAAATGTATTTTTCACAGATACATTAGGTACGTTCACTTTTATTTATCGTAAATTCTCCCTTGACCTCTACACGATCTCTCTGGAAAGCATCGCGTTTAATTCCTAAGCAATCCATCACAATGAGTCAACCGACGTGATTTCATCTTCACACATCACTGGTTACATTATATTATATTCCATTAAGTTACATTACATCACAACACACCACATTATAAAGGAAAAGGGATTGTGAGTAATGAGGACTAGCTACCCTAATAAAACCCTAAAATAATTGCTAGCATTAGAAGATCTATGAGTCTCTATCTAGTACTCACCATTCAACCCTCATTGGCATTCTGCCATTGTATAAATTTAGCACAGGCAGGGTCCATCGTCTTCCTGCCTTTATTCAAATTATTTGGGGTTAGTTTAATATGATTTTAGTCATATCATCCAAGGTTTTGGCTCTTAGTTTCCGACCGACCGGCCGCCTGCCTGATGTCAACCCTCCTTGGGAATGCATTTGTTGGTGGTATCCGCCACCTGTGATAGGATTTAGGAAAAAGAAAGGAAATGTTAAGAATGTGTAAAGGAAATTGGTAAAGAAGGAATGAAGGATTTGTGCGGAATAGGGAATGCCTATTCCGTATATACTGCAGGTGCGAAAGGGAAGAGTTGGAGTGAGGAGGGTAACCAATCTAATAATACCGTTAAAAAACACCGCATTACATTACTACAATTGGCACCACCGTCACAGGCTGACCCCCGTGCAGCTGGCGGCGGTGGGGTGGGCTGCGTGGTGGTGGAGTGCCGTTCGCGGCGGGCCGCAGTGGGCGTTGGCGCGCGAGGAGGCGGCCGTGTGCCGCCGCCGCCTGTGGCTGCACGCACTCTACCTGCACAACCTGCTCGAGCCGCAGCACTTCTGCCTGCTGCCCACGTGGTCAGTACCGATTTGTCTGTAACCACCCACCACGTTCCATTGCTGTGCAAGTATTAAAAAAAAACCGCCAACACTCGAAGTCCGACATCTATTTTTATTACCAAAATATCTATAAACTTCCATATGAGCCATTAATCTTCGACTGCCATTCAGTCCACGCACGCGACACGTGCAAATTAATAGATTACTGCTCGGAGACTAGCGTTAGCTGTTCGACATCCAAACTGCAAGTTTTCGGCTGCGTTGCCACATTTATACCTTTTAGTACTTTTAGAACAGGGTGAGGGGATCTTCATCCATTAAAAACTCTAAATACAAACAGGATGTTAATAGTATAATTATTAATTTCAGGTCGTTGGCAGTGGATATGCAGCTGCATTTGGTGGCTGTAGTCTTAACACTCGCTTTAATACGAATGGGCCGGCGTGCTGTGCCAATACTGGCCGCGATGTTTCTGGGATCTTGCCTTTTAAACGCATACCTCATTTACATCTTCGAATGGAAGTCGATGCTGTATGTGATGAACCCGCAGTAAGTAACATTTAAGTAACCGCTTGTCATTGACACGAAATTCATTCTTAAACGTTGAACCTAAATGGTCCCATACAGACAGTGCGGTTTCAGAGTAATTTTCTCTGTGTTTTAGAGAAATTACAAAAAAAAACCGTCTGGTTCCGGCATAGAATAGGCCAGCTATTCCTTTCCCGTGGGTGTCGTAAGAGCCGATTAAGGGAGGGTGTGGAATAGGGAGCAGCGTCCCTCTTAAAACATCTGTAAAGCTACTGTTAAATCCCCCAAGAGACTTATGTTCAGATGGATAAATAGATAGACAAACACTTTATTTGAGTCATTTATGACACGCGTAAATTAACAAGCAAGTTCAGCAGTGGACAGTAGAGGGCTGATGTGATGATATTTATGTACGGAATCCTCGGCGTGTGAGTTCAACTCGCACTGGACCGGTTTATTTCTTTAATGGGTGATAAGGAAATGGTAACTCCGCCTGCGTTAACTATATACGCTGGTGAAGTAATGGTTAGTAATATTCCTTATCAGCGCGACCTCCACGTGGTCTCCTCTGGAAACCATCTTAATGAATTCTAGTGGAATTTTTTATGATGGCCTAAGTGATCTACTTTCATTCTCATCTATCATCATTCACTAGTGCTTCACCAGCGTTAACGGGGTTACTATTCCATTGTCCATTATTCCCATTATTAACAGCTCCTTCCTCCCTTTCACATGTCTTGTCCTATATGATAATATATCACTGTTTACAGGAATACCTTCATGAAGTTTGTGGACGTGCCTTCATTTTACCATTTCTACATATCGCCGTGGGGCAGCCTCCCGTCCTGCCTACTGGGCTTGTTGCTCGCCAATATTCACTTCCAGCAACAACTGAACGGCTTCAAAGCGACTGAGTATAAAGTATGAATCTCTCTAAGAACATTTCAATTTTCTTTATTACTTATGCAACCTGTAATTGGAGATTTCAAAATCGAAATCACTCGAAGGGAATTCCATACAAAAGTAGTTTATCTACTTGGATATTTTGTTTCACCCACTTTCTATAAGTAGGTCTTCAGCTTGTTTGTCATTCTAAATTGAAGAATAATAAATATATCATCATCATCATGTCAGCTGGTACCTGTCCACTGCTGAACACACACCTCCCCATTTTTTTTTGTATACAACTTAGAATGGCAAACAAGCTGACGGTCCACCTGGTGGAAAGTGATAACCGTCGCCTATAGACATGAGCAGTACCATGGACATAACAGAGTATACTGTTTTGCCCATGATACCCCCCATGTGTTGCCATTTCTGAGGACTCAGTTGTTATTCCTCTGTACCCAGTAGATTCACGCCATATCCCACCCTTCAAACCGAAACACAGCCATGCAAACAAAACTGCTTCACGGTTGAAACACGAATTGGACAGAGGTACCCAAGCAATCGACTTTTGTACAAAGTCTCCCTCTGTTTACCATTGAGGGATTTTGGCAATAGTTGCCATGTTTGGCTTTGGGTGGGCAACCGCAATTAGGCTTTAGAGTTGTTTTAAAAGGGACACTGCTGCCCATTCATCGCTCTCCCTTAGTCACCTCTTACCATACCTACGGGAAAGGAAGGGGTGGCCTATTCTATGCTGGGACCACACGGTCCGTGGTGGTTGGTGGTTAGAGGTGATCAGCAACTAATACTTCAATACAATACGTTTCAGTGGTTTGTATGGACGTACAAGCTGTCTGTTCCCCTGATAGTGGGGTTCACGTACACGGGCTACTTCGTCCAGCAGTACACGTCGTCGGTGGTCACCACCGCGCACACTGCCCTCGAGCGGCCACTGTTCGTCCTCCTCTTCGCAATCTTCATGTTGGGAACGTTCAATAAACTTGATAGTAAGTATAACTCTTTGCTATCAATCAAGAATTTTTAATGGAACTTGGAAAAATATACAAGCTGACAGCCCACGGCCATAGAATACTTTTTTTTTTATACAACTTAGAATGGCAAACAAACTAACGGCTCACCTGATGGAAAGTAATAACCGTCGCTTATAGACATGAGCAGTACCATGGGCATAACAGAGTACACTGTTTCGCCCATGATACCCCCATGCGTTGCCATTTCTGAGGACTCAGGTGTTATTCCTCTGTACCCTGTAAATTCACGCCATATCCCACCCTTCAAACCGAAATACAGCCATGCAAACACAACTGCTTCACGGTAGAAACACGAATGGGACAGAGGTACCCAAGCAATTGACTTTTGTACAAAGTCTCCCTCTGGTAATGTAGTAACTAATTCCTCACCATGCATTAACATTGGTTTTACGGAGACCTCAGTGATGGTGTGACCATCAGATGATGGCACAGTGGGTATAGTTATGGTAGGTTGTTATATTTTCATGGCACGTTATTACACTACCATATTCCACCCTTCAAATCAAAAGACAGACATGCAAGCAAAGTTGCTAAGTAGCAGTATATAGCATTTATATATCATTGAAAAATTTTATATCTATAAACTTTTCAAGCATCATACTTATACAGCCTTATACGAAAACTATCCTAATAAATCCTAATGTAAAGTGAGTTTTTTTGACAAAGGTATCTTCAAAGACATTTTGTCGTGGCGAATCTGGCGTCCCCTGGCGCGCATGTCGCTGTCGGTGCTGACGGTGCACTGGTGCGTGACCGTGGTGTTCGTGGCCGCGCGGCCTCAGCCGCTCACGTCCTCTTACCTCGACATTGTAAGCACTCACAAGCGCAGATGTAGTCATACAATTTAGGTGCACTCCACAGCTCTGATGCTTTTGCGAAATGAGGTCCAAGCATCTCTTAAAACATCATTATATCAGTCGTTACCTTTTTTTTCGGCTTTGCCAGTAGTTGCCACGCTTGGCAAGGCGGGCTGTCAACAATGAATTGTCTTTTACGAGACCCGCAGGAACGGAAGGGGTGGTCAATTCTATGCTGGAACCACACGGTGGCTCTTAATAAAGCGTCTTATTAATTTGTTTATTTTTAGTTTATTTATATTTCTACTTTCTGTAGTGTCCACTAGGTACATATTTAGCTAATTTCCTTGTGATGGAGATCTCAGTCCAGATTCTCTGAATAGAATCCTGAAGCTTCCCCTGCTAGTTACTCTGTTTAAGTCATAAACTACTATTTACTCTTCTATTGCAATTGTTTTATATAGTAATATTTTATGTATTTATCTATGTAGTTATTTTATGTATGTATCTTTTTTTTTATTTTTTTTATACAATTTAGAATGGCAAACAAGCTGAGGGCCCACCTGTTGGAAAATGGTAACCGTCGCCTATAGATATAGGTATATATTTTATATTTAATATATTATGTGTATGTTTATATTATATGAATATATCAAGTATTGCTTTATTTTTGCTCTATTAAAAAATGCACTGCCTACGTATTTCTCTGTTTGCCCAATGGTCGACTGGTAGAGAACACCGTCCGGTGTTAAGTCCGCCATATGTACATAGAATTTTATTGTGCATTAAAGTTTAAATAAACAAATAAATAAAAATCCTAATATGTATATTTCAGATGGCCGACTGGATGGTGACAATGATAATCACGTATATAATATCGATGCCCGTCACCATCCTCATCGAGATGCCGGTGCAGAGATTCTTCACTGCGCTCTTGTTTTGAAGTACTGCAGAAAAAAAAACATATTTATTACCTTTTGAACCACACCTACCCGTAATACCCCTCAGACGTTGTTTTTCCTGAACCTCTAGACAAGTGACAAGCGAATCCGTCAATGGAATCGACATCGCTAGAGAGTCCGTGAGTTGGAACGAGTCACCCGGCGTTGCTATCTCATTCTATCTCACGCACTCGCTAGCGATGTCGATCCCGTCGACGAATTCGTTTGCCAATTGTCTAGAGGCCCTGGGGGTTACAGAGAATCCACGTCCTGTAATTTCACTGCCAACCGAAAGGCGGAAATAAAACGTGTAAGCATATTACTACTTAGTAGATGTGTGGGCCAACAATATGTAAAACTATTTCAAATTTCAAGTAGTTGCTGAGATTAAGCATTAAAAAAGACAGATGGACAAAGTCACATCATAGAGGTTCTTTGTACCTTTTGGCTACGAAACCCTGAAAAGGAAAACTACAAAGGATTAAAAAATTTGTAACACTTACTGTCTGTACTTTAACTAACAATGGTAGAATTACTATATTTAATTCAGGCATATGCCTGAACGAATTTGGGGGTATCGTTAGAATTCTTATATCATTTTTATTGACACTGGCTATAAGAATCTGTAAAAAAAAAGAAAACATTTTGACGGCTGTGTGGTTCCATTTTTAAATGAGACTTTTTTTTCAATGGGTATAGTCGTGTATTTTTTTTATTACAATTGCTTGTTTCCTTTTTCAAAATATATCTCGCGGTTTGTTTTTGATCGGGCGTTTAAGAAATAAATTTATCTTAATTTGGATTTGGCTGCTCTATGTTGTTGCATGATTTCTCATACAGGATTACCTTAAGGTGTGAGTATTTTTGCTTATCGAATAATTAGCGGATCCGCTAACGACTGGCATAAGAACATTACCCATTGTTTATACGAAGAAATACTGCGTAAGTTGTAGATTTAAAGATGTAAGAATGTAATAAAATACAAGGGAACTGAATTTAATCTCTTTGTTTTATTATTACAATAAAAGTACAATATGCATGTAGTCCTTTTAAATAATATTGCCATAGCCGTAGCCATTTGAAGATAGAAACAGATGAAAGTGAGAGAGAGAGAGAAGGAAAGAAACAATAATAATTTATTTAGAGACATGCACAGATATTATAGCAACTGACAGTAAAAACAAATTCTAGTCCCAAAATAGGATCTTACTCAATGTTTGTCAGAGGTTCTAACGTCATTCCGCTGCTGATCTTCCATAAGAGCCTATTTCAAAGGGTGTAGTAATTAATATCAAACTCTGACCGCCATTCAGTCCACGCATATTTTGTAATATATGTTTTATCTTTAAAAGAGGCATCTTCAGGTAAATGAATAAGATCGCCGGAGCTTTTTGTGGTAATAGTTCAGCGTTTAAATACCTAATTCACAGTTTAGGCGCCAAAGATGTTTCGTTTAGAAATGAGCATGTATTACAAAACGTGCGTGGATGGAACGGCGGTCGGCGAATGATGACCAATATGGAAGATTGTATAAATTCTGGTAATAATAATAATAGTCAATCTTTAAGTCTTGGCAGTTGCACGCATACTAATGGTAGCGGAATTAACAAAATAATTCTAACGATTTAACCAGTGAACTCCGCAAAAGTTCAGTAAAATATTTGGAATCTATTTTTTACCGATTTCAAAAAGAAGGAGGTTCACAATGCCATTGTGAATATCAAAATTTGAAAGTTTTTATATAATTTAATTTCAAACTTTATGTAAGTTTGAACTCTATGTAAGTATGTAACTCAAAAACACGACTTTCACTAAAAATAACTCTATTTATACATTACTATAAAAATGTGACATTAGAAAAAATAACCCCATAATCCTTACATATAAATGTGAAAGTGAGTTTGTTTATTTGTTACATACTTGGCGCCTAATGCACTGACACGCGCGGTATACCGACACGTACCTAGTTTACCTGTTTGATATGTCGTAGAAAGATAAAAAAAAAATTGTGTTCGAACGGCATTCTGTAAAACTTTTTTAGTATTGGTACTATTTAAGGGTAATTCGACCTCAGCTCTGCTCTGCTCAGTGCCATCACCTCCGTACTCTCCTTTCCCCCTTTAACCCAAAACGTGACAGTGGTATTTTTTGGGGGAGAAGGGATTTTTAGTAATACGGACTACCAGTCCCATTGCTAGCAATAAACCCTGTCATGTCCACCTCCACGTAGTCCCCCCTGGAAACCATCGTGCTGAATTCCAGATGTATTCATCACGATGGGCTAACTGACCTGCTTTTTCATTCTCACCTATCAATCCCTCACTGGTGCCCCGCCAGTGTATACCGTAAGCGTGGGTCGTGACCATTGTTTTATTGTCCAATAAAAAAAACAGTCTTATATTATATATATATATATATATATATATATATATATATATATATATATATATATATATATATATATATATATAATGAATTATTCTTGTAATGTATATAGAACACAAATTTATATTTTAATTGATTTTATAATTATTTATTATCATGATACTTGAATAAAAAGTAATGAAATTGTAAGAACACGTGGTCTCACTGACTTGTCTACTCGAATTCGGCCGTGTGGATATAAAAGATTGTCATTTGGGTGGGGAGACACTTCTTGTCCAACCGTTGAACAGAGCGGACCTCCCTGCCGTATCAAGAGTGAACAAGTATAGCGAACCACGTGGTCATTATATAAAATATATCACAATTATTGTTGATGGTAGTCCTAAAGAGGCTGTAATTAAATAAGTGTCAATGGATTAACAGAAGTTGGGTAAATATGGTCTTTTGGAGGAAACAATAAAGAGTATCTATCTATCTATGTTATATTATTTGTTATATATCATATACAAAGTAAAATAAGTAAATATATGATTTAATAGCATGATATCTAAATTAAATGAACTGTGAGAACTTGAGCTTCATTTCTATTTGTTACCAAGAGGTTTATAACCTTTATATTTATTTATTTATTTATTCATAGGAAAACCAGGGCTACACTACAGCAAATAGATACAGTTTTAGGATAACAAAATAAGCCACTAATAGGTTTTCACAAATAGCAACAATATATATACAAGGCGCTTTACACAAAGCAACAAAAATACGAGTTAACAAAAAAAAAGTGAACAAATAAGAGAGAACATATAAAAACAAATAATGATAATAATAAATTATAGAAACAAACAATAATAATGATAAGTAAAATACAAATTAAAGATTAAATGTAAATATTTGACCAAAATATGGCATTTTTATCCATACAATAGTAATTAAAACCGACTATGAATAAAAAAATATTGCTGAAGAATATATCATATATTATATATATGTAAAGTTAGAATTACGTAGGTTAAATTACTATCAAACATATTACCCTACATAACGTATTATATATATATATTATAAATAATAATAGTTTATTCCTTTTTAAGACGCGTAATGCCTCTGGTATTGCAGGCGTTCATAGGCTACGGTAACCGCTTACCATCAGGTAGACTGTATGCTTGTTTGCCACCTCAGTGGTATAAATAAACAAAAAACCTTAAACATGGATCTAGTTAGAGGCCCTAAAGAGATATAATGTCAGCCGTCCCGCAGGCATTCTAGAACTAATGCGGGAACATCAAAGAGAGAATTGTATCCTATTTGAAGATGAATAAAATTAAGTTCCACTCATTGGCAGAGAGGAAAAAAACTAAGTTGCATAATTATTTGCCGTATCATAAAATGACCGTGTTGAAATTGCAATGTGTCTGATATCTGAACGGTTGCGGCGCGGCACGGCGCTCGCAGCGTCGGTACTGTTGGTTTAAACAATCATTAATCGATGGTCCGATTTGAGACAATATACGTTGATCGAACAAATGTTAAGGCTACACAAAATGTATAGTATTAAACCTAATCTACCACAACCATCCCTACCTTACCAACCCTAAACTTACCACATTCATCGCAATAATTTTTTTCCATAACAATTGATTATGTAATTGATAATACAATCAACTACCACTACCACACCAGCAGCAGTATTTCCGAACCGATACGACAACATAACCTTCAAGAAAAGAGCATATTCCTTTTTTAAAAGGCCGGCAGCACACCTGCAATGCCTTTAGTGTTGTGGGTTATCACGGGCGGCGGTAGTCACTTACCACCAGGTGAGCCGCATGCTCGTTTGCCCCCTGTGTTGTAAAAAAAATACAATATAATATATTTTAACTATTAAACCAAATAAAATCATATTTATTCGCTTGCTACATGGTAAAATAAGATGTTACATATACAAGTAGGTACATTACATGCAGCACCCCGCAGAGGTATGCTAATGTTAAACTGTGTTTAGTCTTTACATTATATTACAATTATAAAGTCCAAACGTTTTTTAAAGTACAGTATTCTTTATGTCAAATTATCATATAAAATTATGGTTTATATTTTAAGTAATCTTTAATACATTACATCTTTTAATACATACTCGTACATTGTTTTGTCATTTAAATATTCAATAACTGCATGATAGCATTTTTCTAAGAGAAAGTGAAACAACTTTGATTTAAATCTCTCTATCGGAAGATCCTTTATTTCCGGAGATAACTTATTGTAGACCCGTATTGCCACTGGGTAACAGCTGTCGCTATCTAATGTTGTTGCCATTGCCGGCAGTACCAGTTTATCTGGGTCGGTTTAGTGGTATCTGGGTCGGTTTGGTCGGTCTGGGTCGGTATTAGTCGGTTATACCTAATTTATTTATTTACGTTACCAGAGGGAGACTTTATACAAACGTCGTTTGCTTGGACACCTCTGTCCCATTCATGTTTCTACCGTGAAGCAGTTGTTTGCATGGCTGTGTTTCAAGAGTGTGTAGCCAGAGTGGAATATGGCAGTGAATTTACAGGGTACAGAGGAATAACACCTGAGTCCTCAGGAACCCCCATGCATTGCCAATGCATGGGGGTATCGGGGGCGGAACAGTATACTCTATTATGTGCATGGTACTGCGCATGTCTATAGGCGACGGTTACCACTTTCCATCAGGTGGGCCGTCAGCTTGTTTGCCATTCTAATTGCATAAAAAAATGTATATAATATGCGGATTGTTTACAATCCCAAGCTCACAGGTGATATCCCTTAAGTCTAAGGCGAGTCTGCAATATGGTTACCGAATTGAGATTTGACGTCACTAGCAAGTCGATCGCGACCGACTAGTGACGAGCCTGAACAGTGCTGATTATTCAGTAAAACAAATGCAAGTGGATAAATATAGATAGATAGATAGATACTCTTTGTTTCCTCCAAAAGATTACAATAGTAAACTTATTATAAATATAAATAATTACAAGAAATAATCACAATGAGAAAACAATGGGCTAACTTATCGCTAAGAGCGATCTCTTCCAGGCAACCTTTGGATGGAGAGGAGTAATTATAAACAATTTGGTGGGAGGCACGATGAAAAATTTTGTTAGTTCTAAATATGGGAGATGTAATACATATAATAATATAAAAATTATCCCTACTCATTATTATATACATCTATGTCATACATACAGTGAGTGTAGAAAGTATTCGTACACCTAGGGTTGTAATAAAAAAAATACGAATTTGATAGACTTTCTTTTATTTATCTAATTTAAATCAATACTATTAAATATTTTAACATTCCCGCACTTTGTTTATGATAATTTTTGTTTTTTAATAAAAAAAATTATACAACATAAAAATATTTTTACGTTAACTAAGCAAATAATGACAAACAAAAAGTATTCGTACACTTATAAAATTTGTAAGTAAATGAATATTAAAAAAATATTAATACTTTGTTGGACCACCGTTAGCATTGATGATAGCTTGGAGTCTCTGCGGCATCGAATCAACTAGTTTGAAAATATAAGAAGACGGTATCAATGCCCATTCTTCGCGAAGCGCAATTTTTAGTGTTTCTTTACTCGAAATTGGTCGATTTCGAATTTTATTATCGAGATAATCCCACACATGCTCTATAATATTAATATCAGGTTATTGAGGAGGAATCTCTAGGTATTTTGGAGTGTTAAACAGGATCCATGCTTTAATATTCCATGCTTTATGTTTAGGGTCATTATCTTGTAAAAATATCCAATTATTGTTAAAACCCATTTGAGCTGCACTAAAGAGAAGATTCTCTTTTAAAATATTAATATACGTTTTGTGATCCCTAATTCCATCAATAAATGCAAGTTTTCCCACCCCAAAAGCACTCATGCAACCCCATACAAATACTGACCCACCACCGTGTTTTACCGTTGGACATAAATTTTCTTTCTTATATTCCATATTAGGTTTTCTCCATACCATATGATGTCCATCCGATTTGAAAATATTATATTTCGATTCATCTGAGTAAATAACAGTTTGCCAAAAATGATTTTTTTCATTAATATATTTTTTGCGAATTCTAATCTTTTTTTCTATTAATATCATTTACCCAATACTTTTTACGCGCAGTTCTTCCATGATAATCGTTACTACGTAATACGTTCCGAACGGTACTGACAGAAATATGGCAATCATTGATATTATTAATTTCTTGTAACACTCGAGGGGCACTAATTTTTGGATTTTTTTTTACACAATTTAAAATTTTCCGATCCAATCGAGGCGTGATTTTTGATGGACGCCCCACCTCTGGGTTTGTTTTTTAGTGTTTTAGTAATAGAAAACCGATCAATTACAGTCTGTACGGTTGAACGTGGTCTATTGACAAATTTTGCAATTTCACATAATGATTTGCATTGATTATGCAAATTAATAATTATTTTTCTCTCCTTTTCACTCGTTTCTTTTGCTTTACGACCCATTTTTGTAACTAAACACGTCTATACTTGTCACGAGTGCAACTAAAACGTCTAATATCTATACCTACGTATTAAAAATGACCTTGGCATTGTAGGCATATGAAAAATTCGATTGAATAAATGATTTATACAGAATTTCATTTAAAAAAGAATGAATGTACGAATACTTTTTGTTTGTCATTATTTGCTTAGTTAACATAAAAATATTTTTAAGTTGAATAATTTTTTTTTTAAAAAACAAAAATTATCATAAACAAAGTGCGGGAATGTTAAACTATTTAACAGTATTGATTTAAATTAAATAAATAGAGGAAAGTCTATCAAATTCGTATTTTTTTTTTATTATAACCCTAGGTGTACGAATACTTTTTACACTCACTGTATATGCCAACATATATGTCAACATTACAAGAATTGATTACTAACTTATATGGTGGTGGAGAATTCAGTAAACTGGACTTGTCTATGGCCTTAGGTTATATTGATAGAGCATAGAGTTTCAAAAACGGGTCAACTTTTTATCAGCTTATTGTCAAATTAGCTGATTATACCAGAGGTGATGTATACCAGAAGTGTCAGCTAACCGTTTGCAACGATCTGCTATATTTTTAAGTACATACAATCAGCATCAAATCAGCCTCTAACTGACCATTGTTGAACATAAGCCTCCCATTTGAAGGGGTTTTGCCAGTAGTTGCTACGTTTAACAGGCGGATTGGCCACCGCAGTGTGGCTTTGAAGATGTTTTAAGAGGGACGCTGGTGCCCATCCCTCGCTTTCCCTTAATCGCCTCTTGCGACGCCTATGGGAGAGGAAGAAGCGGCCTATTCTATGCCGGGACCACACGGCAAGTGCATATAATAACTCCATAGAATATGTTAAAAGTGTAAACAATACTACAGATTTCTTATCGCTTGCAATACGGGTATGTAACAATAGCAAGTCCAGACGACGCGGTCGACTGGAATGTAATGAATCAGCGGCCTGTATTTGTTTATTGAATGATAATCGTGACGAATTCAACGATAAATTAGTCACGATGGTTTCCAGGGGGGACCGCGTGGAGGTCGACCTGGTAGGGTATATTGATATCAATGGGGAGGTTAGTCTCCTCAATCCTTTCCCCCCGGCGGCCTGTATTAATTTTATTATCGATGGTTCTTTACTAAGTGACAATAAAAAAATTGCAAATAGAAACGGTTCAAGCTAAACAATTAAAAAAGGTTAGTTTATATATTAAAGGGATGGTATAAAAAGTATATAATAACTACTAAGCTACTACCATATTTTTTATACTGAAATCAGATCTCTTTAGAGAACGGTTTATTATTATTTTGAAATGGTTACTCGATAATGCGGATTATCAGTCCCGTTGCTTACAATATACCCAAACAGGTCGAACTCCCCGTGGCACCCCTGGAAACCATCGTGCTGAATTTCAAGTGTATTTATCACGATGGGCTAACTGATCTGCCTTTTCATCCTCACCTATTACCCCTCACTGGTACCCCGCTAGTATATACTGTTAGCGCAGACGGGGTTACCATTCCATTATCATCCATTAAAAAAAAAAAACACTAGAATGTTCGCGCGTATAGATGCATCAGAATATGGATCATCTAAAGGTCCTGACGCCGCTGTTTTAATTAAGTGGGTACATAGAACAAACATTTATTTCGGTACAAAACTGCACCATTTAAGTGGCGAAAAATCACAGAGCGCGCAATGACGCAACGTAATGCTAAAAATTATCATGCTGAGTGGTAAACGGTCGCAGAGAAGTATATCTTTCTATTACGATTTGATTACGGATATTTTATTGAGATGGTGCATTTAGACATTACAATATGATTAGCTGACTCCACAGCGGACATCAACAGTTTCCTCAACAGTTTAGTACCTTAATATAATAGTATGGTGTTTAGAAAATTATATATTGTACGGAAAGGAAGCATCATCTTTGTAAAGATACGTGGTTTAATAAAATGATAGAAAAGACGCCCAGCTGAGTCTCACTAACTAGTGGGCACGGATTTCTTCTTAGGATTCCAGCCTGCTGCCATACTATAGCCAGGCTCATTGGTTAGTATTGAGGCTGCTAGTCCTTGTTACTAACTATCCCCTCCCCCAGTGATGTATGTGATATTAATATGAATTCAAGTTAATTAGCGGCTCATGACAAATTCACCATAGATAACCATAGGTAACCATAGTAACCATTTGTACGCACCCCAACGCTGCATGCGATTGCGTGCTTGTCGACTACTATCGGCACCGCCGGTTCGCACCTGTACTGCTCAGTTTGCTCCCACTTATCAGGCTATTTCTCTGCTCAATTCTCTGATTGCTCAGCAGCCAGATATTGATATATTTAATGACAAAATAGATATATTTTTAAAATGTTGTACAAAATTTGTAAGTTTGTAAAATAACCCTATGGCTCACACGTTTTGGGAGACTGTAAGTGTGGTGAGTAATTTATAAATAAATAAGAGGTTTCAATGAATAATTATGAAGGAACAATTAGGAGATCGACCTCATACAGTATAATGCTATCAATGGGGACTTGAGTTGGCCAGTGCTAGCAATCCCCTCCCCCGGAAGAAAAGTCTTCTCCGACTGAACTTACTGTTCTGAGATAAGCTTTTGTACTGTACAGATTAAAAATATATTGTGACTGTACTTTATAAAGATTGAGAACTGGTAGGGAAAGGCTAGGACAAAGTGGGCGCGTTACGCAAGCCCGCTGCGCAGGCGCACGCTCGGCCCGCGATGACCGCAGTGCGAATCATGGCGCGAGCGCTGACTACCGCGGCCCTCGCCGCGCTGCTGTGCGTGTGCGCAGCCGAGGATGTCCTCTACGAAATCAGTGGTACAGTTACAGTGATATTAGTTTATTTACTATTTCAGTGAACGCCATATTTTTTTTTATCAATTATACCATCGTGTTCGCGGTTTGGACGTGCATTCATTGCGAAGTATTTTATGCAATCCCTTCGATTCCAATTTTGTCTTTCGTCTTTATTAGTAACAGTTTTAAGTTATTTACCTGCAGTATTGATTAGTAGCGACATACTAGTATTAATTTAAACATTAAGTACTCAAAATACTTGACTTTACTTGGTTTGTATTTTAATATGTTGTGGACACAAGAAAAAGTTTGAAAAGTTGTAAATTTACAACGAAAAAAAAACACATAACTAAAAAAAAATATTTTTTATTGCTTTCACTTCAATAAGGATAAATAAGTGAAAAGTAAGAAACGACTTTACCTTGATCTTGTTCGCATAAAATTTAATCTATTATTAACACCAAATTTATCAAAATCACATAAGTAATTTAAATGGTATGGTGGTACAAACGTACAAAAGTACTAAAAAATAAATTACTGTCAAAAACATAGCCCTTCCTATTTGCTTTGCTGTAATCAATACCATGTTTTAACAGAGTACTTTTTCTAATGCATTAAAATGGAATAATAACTCGTGAGGTAACCGCATACCATTGTTTTAATTATTAATTGAACTTTAAAAAAGGTCGAGCACTAAAGATCATGGAAAGGTGGTAGTGTTACAGGCGTTACTGCCTGGGAAAAGCCACTATCTCAATAATGATAATTATTATACTATCATAATTATCAGACGGAGACTTTGTATAAAAGTCGATAGCTTGCGTACCTCTGTCCCATTCGTGTTTCAACCGTGAAGCAGTTGTGTTTGAATGGCTGTGTTTCGGTTTGAAGGGTGTGATATGGCGTGAATTTACTGGGTACAGAGGAATAACACCTAAGTCCTCAGGAATGACAACGCATGGGGGGTATCATGCGCGAAACTATATACTCGTTATGTCCATGATACTGCTAATGTCAATTGGAGACGGTTACCACTTTCCATCAGGTGGGCCGTCAGTTTGTTTGCCATTCTAAGTTGAATAAAAAAAAAAGTTGAATAAAGTAATGCAACGCGATCCATCACGAAAGTGCCCATGCAATTATATAGAGAGATGCTATTAAACTGATCACACCCACGGAATTGCGTAACACACGCACTTTTGTGTGAATTACAGATGAGTAGTACTTCATAAGCGCTCTTATAATGATATATTGAATGAATATAATATTTTATTTATTACGATTCGATATATATAGCACGATTCAAGTATACACATAGATCTTACACAGTGTGATGGCTTAACAACTAGAGTATATTAAATCTTAAGATCAGACCAGCAAAATAAAAAATGTACACTAGTTTTTCTATAAAATAGATAATAAATGAGTGAATATACTTTATTTGCATTATACAATATAGGGAATAAGCAAGACAATTAATAAATGTAACGATACAGTTGTATAAGTACAGTAAGGCGGTCTTATTGCTGAGAGCAATTTTTACAAGATAGCTTTAGGGTAATGAATTAATTATGGTACAAATAGGCATAATAATATTGTATAATTAAGAAGCGTCAAACATTAAGTTAACAAGAAGCAGTTGTGTTTGCATGGATAAGTTTCGGTTTGAAGGGTGGGATATGGCGTGAATTTACTGGGTACAGAGGAATAAAACCTGAGTCCTCAGGAATGGCAACGCATGGGGGGTATCATGGGCGAAACAGTATACTCTGTTATGTCCATAGTACTGCTCATGTCTATAGGCGACGGTTACCACTTTCTATCAGGTAGGCCGCCCGTCAGCTTGTTTGCCATTCTAAGTTGTATAAAAAAAATATTAAGAAAAATAATTACAATTATCTATTTTCAAATTTAAAAAATTAAATTAATAACTATATACAATATATAAACCTATACATATATGTTAAATATGTACCTCATAATAGAAAAAGACATAAATTTACATTGCTATAATATATAATACTGTGCCATGCCTGTATTATTGCATTGCCATGGCATGGCATAGTAGCATAACAGCAGAGTAAAATGTGTGCAATTTTATATATACACTTGTCAATTACCAGTACTTGGACGCTTTTATAATATATCCTGCCATAGCTCGGCATGGTTTTTTTTTTTTATACAACTTTAAATGGCAAACAAGCTGACGGCCCACCTGATGGAAAGTGGTAACCGTCGCCTATAGACATGAGCAGTACCATGGACATAACAGAGCATACTGTTTCGCCCATGATATCCCCCATGCGTTGCCATTCTTGAGGACTCGGGTGTTATTTCTCTGTACCCAGTAAATCCACGCCATATCCCACCCTTCGAACCGGAACACAGCCATGCAATTACAACTGCTTCACGGTAGAAACACGAATGGGACAGAGGTACCCAAGCAATCGACTTTTGTATAGTCTCCATCTGGTGGTACATTATAAAAGTACCTAGTCACTTCTTTCAAATATTAACCATCCTTTATTATACCACTCATATTGTGTAAATGACACGCTCGCCCGGCGCCCGGCGCCTGCGCACGTAATGTTACTTATTACAATATTATACCAATGCATTTCATATGGTACTTTCACACACATACACACGCACACTCACGCGCCGGTGCTATTGTAATACCGCGGACTAATTATATTTGCCTTAACTATGACCATCAGTAAATAATACGTAACAACCTGTGGGCACAGTGGTCAGATATTTTTTCTTACAACTTAGAATGGTGAACAAGCTGACGGCCCATCTGATGGAAAGTGGTAACCGTCGCCTATAGGGGGGAAAGGGACTGTTAGTAATGGAGACTGAGAATCCCATTGCTAGCAATATACCCAACCAGGTCGACCTCCTCACGGTTCTCTCTGGAAACTATCATGGTTAATTCCTGATGAAGTCATCATGATGGGCTAACTGGTTTGTTTTCATTCTCATCAATCACCCTTCACTGGTGCTCCGCCAGCGTATCCCGTTAGCGCAGGCGGGGTTACCATACCATTTTCACCCATCAAAAAAAAACCATCGCCTATAGACATGAGCTGTACCATGGATATAACAGAGTATACTGTTTCGCCCATGATACTTCCCATACGTTAGCAGATTAGATAGATCGTTAGATCGCTACCAGTGTTGAGAATTCCACTGTCAAACTGATTTTCCTTATTATAATATCACTATTTTTTTATTCTACGGCTCGACTAAGGGAACTTATGTGCGAGAGACGTACAAAAGCGTCCCTCTCAAAGCAGCTTCAAAGCATAACTGCATTTGGCAACCCGCCTGCCAAGCGTGACAATTACTGGCAAAACCCAAGGGGTTTTATAGGGGAGACTTATAAATCAGTAGTGGGCAATTAACGGTTAATATAATAAAACAAATATATATATATATATATATATATATATATATATATATATATATATATATATATATATATATATATATATATATATATATATATATATATATATATATATATATATATATATATATATGTATATATATATATATATATATATATATATATATATATATATATATATATATATATAATAAAGTAAATACGATAAGAAAATGTAATGTTTTCTTTGAGATAGAAGTGTAATCACTCTAGTATGAATGAAAAATTAATAAATGTAAAAAATTAATAAATGAAAAGTTAAAAAATGTAAGTATACTGTGCTTGATTGTAGCTTTGTAGCTTTTTATTTGCTTTCTTTTATCGATACGCAGTTTATGATAGTCATTTTATCAATTCATAATTGGTGTTGTAAACTTTTATTTGAAAAAAGCAACAGCTGCATTTCTTACCCGTTATTCTCATCTGAAATTACATTCCGAACTGGACGGTAGATTAATAATTTTGCTATACTATCAGGGTTTAAACACTTAAGTACTAATACAATAAAATTATAAATAAACGATGTCTATACATTGGAGATGTTAAAAAAATTATCAAAAAGGTTTTAACGAGACTAATAGAAGACAGACATATATTTTTTTTTTATTTTGTGTATTTTTATGTTTGCTCCGGTATCACACAAAAACTACTACGCTAAATGGAATGCGGTTTTCACTATTACATTCCTTAAGGACTAACCTAAAAGCTGATATGTGTTTTATTTTAATACGCCCTCTAAAATTGGTATACTTCATTGATTGTCCCACTTTTGATATCCGCGCGTACGTATTAGCGATCAAAAAGATAGTAACAAATAAGCCTTCGAACGGTTTCTGTGTAATTGTGAGTGTTGGACGACTGGCAGGAAAGTGTACTTTAGACTGGGCTAGTAGTATAGTGTGTTTGTTTATATGTTACCTTTTGATGTAGTACGTAAGATAGAACTATAAAAAAGCCACTTTACTGGCTTTTAAATACATTTTTAATTCTCTTTAAGACATACACTAAACTGTTTTTTATTACATACATTTTCCGTATGTATTTGCCAATTAATCACTATGTTTATATAAACACCTATATTAGGCCATGCCCACCTGAGAATAAGGAGCGAAGCTTTTAGCTGGATCCATACATACTTGAGAGACATTTGCGCCTTATTTAAAGGGCCAGGTACCCCTGTAAAATAATTTAAATATATTTTCTATCACGACGGACTAACAATCCTGGTAATGCAGACAAAGCCGCAGTAAACAAATATATATATATATATATATATATATATATATATATATATATATATATATATATATATATATATATATATATATATATATATATATATATATAAGTAACTTCCTCTTCGTCTTCTATCTCTCACTTTCCCTTTAAATATATTCTTGCTGTTTATTTTGATTGAGTTATAAATAGATTTCTATAAGGTTTGAACACAGTTTATTATTTGATATGCTAATATTATATGTATTTATTTATATGTATTTATTGTAAAAAATTTACAAATATTTCTATAGTTGTTAATTAATTATTGTCATATGTTAATTATATATAAAAT